TATATGTAGAAAAAAAAATATCAGACTATATTTATACGTATCTATTTTTAATTAAATACGTGCAATAATAGATATGTATACATATATAAACGGTTGAGAATATGACGCACATTCCTGTAAAAATAGAAATTGACAAAATAATAATTTTTTTGTGTTCGCAGGGAATATTATTTTAATCCAACTAATACTTTTTTTTTATCAAGAATTAGGAAATCATGCTGCAATATTTTTTTAAGATATATTTATTGTTCTGCTTGTGCTTTTCGATTTTTGACTATCTGTATGGAAAATTTCGAATTCCTTTCGGACACTTGGAATTTTTATAACTAAGCCACATTGTTAGAAATATTTTTTTAAAGAGAAGAAAAATAAAATTGAATTCTTGTCATTACATAATTTAGAAGAAAACTTTTTTTTTGAGAAAATCGAAACAAAATAGGGGAAATATTAAAATTTAATTAATTTCTAACAATGTTCATATTTCCCAGCCTGTGGCATGAATTTCTATGTATACTAATATTTGATTCGTAGACTTACAATTTGAAAATTATTATTAGTAGATAAATGTATATAATTGTACTTGCGCTGTAATTTATATATCATTAGAATTTAGTTTTATTTCATTAAAAATTTATTCACTGCTCACAGTACTTTACAGCTTGTAGAGAATAATTTATGTTAAAAGTTTTCTTTTATTTGTTGAGTATTTTACATGTTTGTAATATTTATGTACATACTGAAAGTTAGAAATTTTCTCTTTTTAAAATAATGCATTCTTTCGATTTACATAAAAAAAGAAAAATAATTTTTGCTTTTTTACGTGCTTTGAAAATATAGATATTATATATTCGAGATACTTGAAAAAAATTATGACTTCAAAGCGCATTATTATATAATATTTTTCAATAATATTATTAGGAAAAATAATAGAAATGTCTCAGAATTGTCATCAGGTTAATAATTGCGAGTACTGCATTTAAACAATATTATTCTTATATCCTTTTGCTTTTATGGTGTGTAACAAGATTATCTTTCACATCCTTGAATAAGACAATATTGTCAATTATCTTTTGTATAGTACATACGTTACAATATTTGATTGGGTCTAATTATTTTACAACTTTATGAAAATGCACTACTTTTTTTTTATTGAATTAAACAAAATTTGCTTTACGTAAATGCTTTAAAATGACAATTTTTGTCTGAAACCGTTTTTGAACATTTTTAAAGATTATTTTTGTAAATTAAATTATATACCTATTTACCATGTTTATTGGCCATTATTTTTATTTAATTAAGAAAATTTTGAACGTTTCTTGAGTAAATCTCAAATATAAACTTTCTACCATGTTTTTTCGATCCGCTTATTAGCATTCATTTGCAATTAATTAATTGTTAATTTAAAAGTTTATTACATTTTTTGTAATGATTTGAAGATTTTATAGAAAGTTGTAAAATTCAATTTCGTTTAATATATTTGATATCATTTGACAATCTATTGATTTAATTGTATGTGTGTGTCATAAGTGGTAGAATTTAATTATTTGTCTTACCATTAGTCTTGTTTTTTTTAACCTGATGTTTTAATCAGAAAACCTATTTAAGTTCTGACTCATATTTTTTATTATCAATATCACACAATGTGTTCAATATTGTTGATGTATTTTTTTTTTTTTTTTTATTAAGTTTTTTCATTTTTAATTTTACTAAATATATTTGTTACCATGACAATAATAATTATTAATAATTATTATATTTATTAATTATATAAATCAAATTTATTGTCAAAATTTTTTTTTGTTCTTCTATAAACAATTTTTTCTTTTTGTATGATATTCTGTCACAGCTTGTGGGCTATAAAATAAGTTTTTAAGAATAGTGATTCTTAGGGGAGGTCAGAGAGCGTGAATGGTTGGTATATCTTTCAAGCAGGAAAAGAATGGAAAATTTCGAATGAAAAAAAACGAGAAACCAAAGAACAATGAACCTATAATTATAAATGCACAATCAGTTTTAAATACGATTGAAAGCTATTATAATTTTTTTACAGTAGTAAAATCATTTGTTAGCACCATTGAAGTGGAAAATTTGTTATACAATTTTTATTTTAGTTAGAAACATTTTATTATTGTATTATTTATTTTATTAAAATTTTTGTAAATATCAAATTGGAAACTTTTTCTTTGCTTTTAAAAATTAATATATATATATATATGTATACAATAACAATAAATGAAAAATTTTTTAAATTGTATAAAAAAATTTAATTGGACATTACATTATCGTGGATAGAATTTATTATTAAGTAATGTATTAAGTAATTTTTGGGGGGATTGAAAAAATTGATATCTGAGAATATAATATATGGAAACCGCGATTATATAGCTTAAATGATTAAATAATAGAATTTTCTTGAGGTCTCTTTTTTACTTGATCAATCAGAGCGTTACTAGTTGGTCAACTAGCGGAGGGAACTATTTTTCCCCTTCTTTCCACTTATTAAAAAACCAGGACATTACTTGATTTATATAAGTTTCTTTTCTTCTGAAGCAAATTTTCTAGATATTATATATTTTTTAAAAACACGTAAAATTATGGTAGGACAAAAAAAAATTTTTTTTGTGATCTCCATTTATACGATTCATTATTGACATTGTTCATCGTTTAATTTTTATAATTCAATAAATTTATTCCACACAATTTCCGCTTTCAATTCCTGTTCAACAGTCCGAATCACAAACCCCCAACCCTTTGTGCATCAGACAAACCTGATGTCTAGCCAAAAAAAGTTTTGGCTAGACAGCAAAGTCAATTGCAGATAGTGAAAGTTTTTGGCAAGGGAATTTTATTTTTGTCTGAATAGAGAATTTACGTTTTATGTTCCCATAATTTTTTTTTTTTTTTAAATTGAAAAACTACTCCCATTAATATTTCTATCTGATATCAAATGAGAACAAAAATTTATAAAATTGAGCGAGTTTACATATTTTTTATATTCCTTGAAGAATAATAGAATTTTTTTTCTATTCATGTAAAATAATTGTTTAGTCAATTAAATGGATATTTGTTTTAAAATACAAAGTTTATTAATTTACTTGATTTAAATAAAAATGTTTTAAATATTTTTTTTGAATAACTCAATTATTTGAAGTAATAATTAAAGTTTTTTTTGTCAGTGTTTCAATATTTCAAGAAAAATTCTATGAAATATTTGAAAGGAATGTGCTTGGATCCTTTTGTCAAGTTCTCAATCTCTCTTCTCGTCACCTTATTTCTTTCAACTTGAGCGAACAAGTTCAGCGGTATCGAGCGTATAACGACGAACTAGGATAGGCGCTTGCGCCGCTTCCTCAGTACATCTTTTAATATTTTCTCCATCCTTACACTGTGTGGTACCGCAGTTCATTTTTTGAAAATGTAAATTTACCAAATTATTAATTTGTTTCTCCAAAATATTTTCTTCTTGTGGAAATACTTCTCCGCGATATGTGGAATTTTTGTGATAAGTTTATAGTAAAAAAATTGTTTATGATTGGAAAAAATTTTACATTGACCCAAAAGGATAATGCAAAAATATCTGCTGTTTAAAGGTCATAATCATGCGCGTGATGATATATTTCTCTGAATTTTTATTATAATGTTGAAAAAAAATTGTGTGATAAGCCTCAATTTTCTTCATTTTTCTGTGAACATTAAAAGCTAGTATTGAATATTTTGATAATTTGTTTTTAACATTTATGAATTCATTTTATCATTTTACATAGTTTTTCAATTTAAATGAAAAATTGTCAAACTGAGTATGTTATGTAATTTTATTACTAATTTTAATGATTGAAGTACATATTAAAATTAATCAGAATTTCAATTTCATAATAATAAATTGTAAATTGTACTTTTAACATTATAATTTGCATTTGGCAAAATAAGACGACCTTGCAAAATATCTAAAATTGTTACAAAGTTTCGAAAGATAATCCAAAATTTGTGCAATTATTTTGTATAATGTTTATAAAAATCTTTTGTTATTCTTATCATTAATTTTTATCAAAATATTCTCAATATTTTTTTTTCCATCCATATTGCAGTGTTGTCTATAATCTGAAGAATATTATACTATACATAAAAATGTTATTAGGAAATTGAGAAAAAAAGTCCTGGGATGATGTTTCGTAGAAAAATGAAAAAATTAAAGTTGTGATTTATTTTTTAGATAATTCTATATGCAAGAGAATAATAATGAGCAAAAAGGGAAAATATATAATTATTAAACAATAAAATTGTCCCACCATTATGGCGTCATTAATTCCGGAAATGAAAGGCGCGAGACGTCGTTCAGGTTTACCTGTCAGGGTTCGTAATAACACTCCTTCAGCAAGTGTTGTGAGTGTAATGGAAAATAGTCATAATATTGAATCTCGAATTCGTGATGAAGGTGTAGATTCGGGTCTTTCTTCGGAATGTACCACTCCAACGGGAGGTTCTCCACCTCCAAGACAAGCCAGAGTTTCAAATATTTCGGCATTAATAGCCGCATCACGGGCCAAACTAGAAAATGATAGGTAGATATTTAATATAAAAAAGAGTACCAGCAACAACTGTTTTTTTTATATAGAAAAAAATAATTTAATAATTAATGAATAATTTAATGTAATTATATATGATTTTTTTTATAATATTCATAGAATTTTAGTCAATGGTGGCTTTTAATATTCTATATGTAGTATATACGTACAATAGCATTAACTATTAAGAAACAAAACGCATGAATCATGAGTTTAAATTTCCGCAATGTTTCGAATAATTCATATAAGCCAATTTTAAAAAAATTTTGAGAAAATGTTCCTTGATGTAAATATAAAATTTGTTTTCGTTATTATTATTATAAAAACCTTATAAAATTCAGTTAAAAAGAAATTCGATTTTGGAAATTTAAATTAATGAGTTTTCAAGAAAATATAAATAATTCGCAAAATAATTTTATTAATTTCATGATTTTTCAGAATTACCAATAGCAGAACGACGAGACTGTTAAGAAATAGATCGGGAGCCGATTCTCCAAAATCACTGGATAGTACAAGATCGCGACAAGTTTTCAGTCCCCTTCGACCCCCTAGAAATGTAAGTCACATTATTTTTTCAATGAAAAATATTGACATATAAAAATAGTCAAATTCATTTTCTTTTTAATCGCAAAAAAATAAATGAAGAAAAAACATTTAAATGAGTAACATACAGTGATTATTTTATTAAAGGTTCAATCGCCAGGCTTGGATTCCGGTGATGAAGGAAGCCTCCGACTGGAACGTGGGACTTATCAGCATATGTTTCAGGACATTGTCTCCATTAAGACTATGCTCTTGAAATTAAAAAGGGTTCTTCAGGAGGTAAATTATTTTTATTTTCAAATATATATATATATATATTTTGTCTCATTGTCATTATTTATGTGTGCTTTTTTCCTATACACTTTATGTAATGTTCATTTTATCTATCAGGATCTTCCATTACTTGTAATAATAATTTTTTTTCTCATTCTTTGTGAGATCATAGAATCATATTATACACTATATTTTTAATAATCTCTTAATCTCTAATAATCTATCTCTAATTTTAATGTAACTAATCTAAACAAATTTGCTTTTAAAAAAAAATTGAGCTAATTGTAAGTTTTACATATCTTTATAATTAAAATCCGACAATATTAATGAGAATTAAATATTCTGCTTTAAAATATATAAATTTATGTACAAATATTTAAAAAAGTTAATGAGTAATGGAACTTCTGACATTTATTATTTAATTCGTTTGCATATTATTTTTGTGTTTTTCACATTAACATGCTTTTTTCTGTTGTTGTCTTGTTTTTTTGGTCCTTCTTCGTTTTGCCTTTCAAGTCAGGAGAGAACGGTTTGACGAGGGTAGGTTGAATATTTAATATACATTTTTCATCAGCATATTTTTTAATTGCTTTTTATTGTTTTACACATGTTACTTTCCTTTATTTATTTTAACGAACATATAATTGACAAATTTTATTATTTGCAGGCTGAAACTCTCAACCCATTCGATAATTCATTAAAGGTCAGTATATTTTATATTATTATTTTGTTACTTTATATTTATTGTATTAAATATTGAATTATTAATAGATGTTAAATTATTTATTTACGTAATTAATTTTAAATTTGTTACAGAATGGTCTCTTCTACAACCTGAATGAGGATGGAGCGACTGATGATAATACAAACGCTAGCAATGTTAAGGATAAAGATGAAATTGTTGATTTAAGAAGGCAAGTGATATTCTTGCAAGGACAAGTTGATGATAAAGAGCGCACGATACAATTGCTTCAGGTACACTTTTTTTGTAAAATAAATTTAAACTCCTTTTTTAAATTACCATCGGTAAGTATAATAAATTATTAATTTTAACAATTGTCATTTATTACTTCAGTTAATTATTTAAATTAATAGAAGAATTCAATTGATATATATTCTAAAGAAAGGGTTTATTTTTTAGAAAAATCTAATTTAAAAAAAGATTATCATTACTGTTATTGTTGATAATTATTAATCCTATAATTTTAGTTGCAAATGACAAAACATCAGGGCGTGAATGGTGTTGACCCTCAAGTAAAATATTCTTTAAATCAATGTCGAGCTAAAGAAACTTGTAATGCGGCCACACAAACAGAGAAGGTAATAATTATTTTTATGAACAAATAGTTTAATTTATACTTTTTATTTTTGTAACGTGTAATTTTACAGTATTTTATTTATTATTTTTTATTTTTTATTTTTGAAGATACGTCCAGTGTCTGCGGGACCTGCGTTATTACAGTCACTTCCTCAGGATGGAAACATGGGGCCTCTCGTTAGGTAAGTTTTAATAATTGTTAAATAATAATAGAAATAATGAATTTATCAAAATTGGATAAAACTTAAATGTCCGCATTCACTTTCACATTTAGTAGTGATTTATACATAATATATATTATTTCATCTCATCTGACACAAAAAAATTACCTATTGTTGTCGCTGCTCTGGCTCTTCTCGGGTGGTACACAAAAAACAGCTTCAGGATCGGGAAGGTAGAGTCCGTCAGTTTGTGTGATTTGCTACTGGGATATTTGATACTTTGTACATTGAATGCTCTCATTTACATTCATTTGAATCATCTGCCAACTCTTTACTTCATTACTTAGAATTTTACTTTAGTTTCTCTTGCATGTGAATTGGTACATTTTTATTTCTTCTGAATTGCATTAATTTTCTTTTTCTGATTTGATTTTGGAATTTTTTTAAATTTATATTTTCGAATTTGAAAAAAGTCAAGTCCTGAAAAAGATTTCTTTTTCTTGTACCGAAATAAAAAATAAAATTACTATTAATTATTATTTGCTTTTTGGTGAAATTATTTTTTTTGACTGAGACGTTTTAAAGTACATAAAAAATTTTCTTATGCTTTTAATTCTTTTTAAATTTTGTTGAATGTTTTATTAGCTTTAATAAGTTTTCTATTTTTTTAAAATTATAAGTAGAATTCATCCTCAATAATGAATAAATTGCGATGAAAATCCAGCTTTTACGCATTTTGAGTGAATTGTGATCGTTGTTATTGACTGCTTTTTCAAAAACAGAAAAGAAAAAAAATGTATATTATTCAATTAGTCTGATTACGTTTTCTACATATTAATACGATCGTAATAAATTTATAAATAATAATGTTTCATGCTGCGTTGTTCAGCCATGTGGGGTAGGTCTGTTTTCAATTCATTATAATTATATCCTAAAATGGAAATATTAAATTACTTTTACAAAATAAAATTTTGTTTAAATTTCTAAACAATTTTAAATTGATTTATTATATTTCTATTTTTAAACATATATATTTCTACTAAATTTCATTTTTCTATTTAAGTTGGAGTGACTTGGGCATCCAACAGAACGGATCATTAATCCCCGAATTTAATGATAATAAATTACAAAAGTCATCTACCGTTCGGATGTTGCGCTCATCAAAGGAATTCGCAGCACATCGAACAATTGGATATCCAGTGACAAATAATTATGGTTCAAATAAAACATCGTCGATTGATAATTCAACTATTAAATCCGTCGTATCAGAGAATATTATCAAAAATTGTCCCATTAAAATAGAAAGCACTTCGATAAAATCATCCATACCAACAACAAGAAGATTAGCAACACCAACCCTTATACCAAGAGTAGCGAGAGCAGTTTCTGCGACGGGACGCTTATCTACTTTGGATTTAGGAGTAAATTACACAAATTATAATTCACCTTCGACAAATTTAAAAAATTCCATTTCATTTACTTCAAAAATCAATTAATGTAAGTACAATTTTTTTAGTGTATTGTGTAAAAAGAAAAAAACATTTAGTCACGTTTTTTCTATAAACATTATGTTCTTCAATTTCTAGGAAAAAAAATATTAAACTCGAAATAAATTTAAGTTTCTAGTATTAGTAAATTACTCCTAAATTCAAATTTGGGAATTGTAAAATTCGAATATTAATTTTTTGTTAAGTAATTTAATATACATAGATGCATTTTAATGCGTTCATTACAATATGTACAATTGTGCAGATTCAGCAACATAATTCTTAGTTAAATGAATTTAAATATAATGAAAAAGGAAAAAAACTAAGAAAATACATTATATACCGCTCTTAGTATTTGTAATTAATTTATTTCAAATGTTTGTCGAAATTTTGTCAACGACATCATTAATTATTTTCGTATATAGATATTCTTTTTTTTTAATTGTATTTAGAAGAAAAATGCATTTAGTTAAATTATTTTCATCTCACGATATGAGAAAACTATTTAATCGAGCGGTCTTTTTAAAGTTTTTCTTTATTATTGTGATACTAGATTATAAATTACTCTTAGATTTTTTTTTTTTTTTGGCGAAATAATTTATTTAAATTATTCTTTTCTTTTTTTCAGAAAAAAATTTGTTTAAAAATACTTGAATTTTTCCGAATTTTCGGTAATTTATTATATAGGTATATATAGTTTCTTTTTAAATTAAATGAAAATTCGGCAAACTTAAAGTTTAAAAAGAAAGAAGAAAGTGACAGGATTAAAATCTTTGTGCAATATTTTTTTTTCTATTTTGATCGCTCGATTTAAAATTATCTGATTTTTTCATTTGCAAATCATCGATTTTTGTAATTAAGTTTCGAGCTTTTTTGTATCATAGTTTAATTTTTTCGTGTATTCGTCGCTGAATTTTTTTTCTGGCGATTAAATGCATATACTCTACAGTATTTTAAGGTGTATCTTAATAAATTTCAAGATGCACTTTCAATATTTACCTAACTGACAAAAAAAAAAAAAAAAAACAAAAAAAAAACAAAGTTCTATTAGTTTCTAAGTCAAGTCAGTAGATTTTGTTTATTTTTGTAAATTATTTAAGCATCTGAAATGAGATCATACAGGTATTATTGGTGCTAATTTAGAAATGAATTGCGCATTGTTTTCTACGACTGTAAGTACTTTCAGTATCACTTGTTTCAAAATTTTTTCCATTTCTTTGCAAAAAAAAAGTACAAAAATATTGTGTTTCAAATTGTTAATTTTAATTAACTGCGTAAATTTCATATTTGGTTGATAATGCTTTTAAACGGAAAAAGGCCTCAATTATTTTATGAAATTATAAAATTTGCATCTTATTTTTATAGTTTAAAATTACATTTATTGTATACATTTTATATTGACAGAAGAAAATTAAATGTCAAATGATTTTTGTGTTGTAAACTTTTGCAAAATGATTAAATTATTGTAATTTTTTTTTGAATTTTGGTTTACAAAAGAGTTAATAATTATTCTCGTCTAATGTCCAAAAAGTTTATTTCATAATACACAGTATATGAAAAATTTGTTTTATTATTTTAATTTATAAAAGCCGTTCTACCGCGAAAAAATAATAAGAGGGCTAAAAAAAATGTAATTATATATTAATGATTTTATATAAAATTTTCAATGTGACAAATCAAAATTTTTATTTCATATAGTATATCGTATATTTACACAATATGTGAATATTTAATAGATTGTGATAATTAGAATTTCATTTTATTATTTTAAGTAATATATGCGAAAAGAAGAATGTAATAAAACATGAAAAAAACACATTAACTCGCAAAAAATAGAACTGTACTTTCTTAGTGTCATTTGACATTGAACTAATGATTTTCTGCGAATAAAATAAAACAAGCGTATTTCATCGTACTTAAATCGTTTTTACGTTAATGCTTCATAAATGAAAAAAAATTAATTTGTACAGTTTGTAAATAATTGTTTTTTTATTATTTCGATCAGGTAAAATAAAACTGATCTCGTCTAAATTGCTATTTTATTTTGACAAATCCAATTAAAATTTTTTTTTTCAAATAATTAAATTTAACAATAGTAATTAATAATTTAATTATTAATTAAATTATTTATTTAATAAGAAACTGAAAATAACACAAACAATTTTTAAATAATTAACATACTTTTATTATGCAGTTCAAACTTAATTATTTATTAGAAACTTACAATTTCAGTGTTTTTTTTGTATTATTTTCTATTATTATTATTATTATTATTATTTATAAAAAAGTGTTTTGTTTTTATATTCTCAGAAAATTGTTGTGTACGACGGAATAAAAATTCTCTTACAATTTCTTTTCAATTATCTATTAGACAAATTAATTACATAAAATATTTAAGAATATCTCACCGTACATTAATATTTCTGAGCACGAGTTTATTATGAGCTGTGTTTTTTTCTTTTTTTTGAAAATAAATGTAGATTCTTTTCCAATTTTGTTTAAAAATAAACAATTTATCCTTTTGACATTTATTTGCTGTTTAATTATATAACTTTCATTTTTTTTCAAAATTCAACTTATGAAATTTAATTTTTGTACACATTAAAAGATGTGTAAAAATTTGTATAACAAATTGGGTTAATATTTTTCTAAACTTAGAGTAATTTACTTACACGCATACGTGAATTTCGAAATTATTTAAAATTCTACTGGACATTTTTAATTTTTATTTGAAAAAAAATTAAACACGACTCAAAATATCGATTTGATGAACTGAGTTTCTTTCTTTTTGAATAAAAATTTAATTTTAACAACATACCTGATTAATTTTTTTCCTTATCCTCAGACGTTTCCTTTTTAATAATAATTTTACTGTCATTAGATTTTATTTTGTCATTGTCGACAATTTCTTTTTTAATTGAAGTTTTACTATCGCTCCACCTTGTGTCACTTTTAGATTTGCTATCACTTTGCGATCCATTCATTTCACCGACAGATCTTTCATCTTGTATTTCAACGACTTCAACTTTTCTCGAGTCACTGTGAACTACTTTCGATGTGACGTGGTATACATTTTTTAATGTTGACAGGTACATGTGAGAATCATTCTATATTTAAATGAAAAGATATTGTTTAGACTATTAAAATAAAAATTTTAATAAAAAATAAATTGAAAATAATATTTACCAAAACTTTCTTCAATTTTTCATCAGTATTTTTCAATTTATCCTTATAAGATCTGAGATCATCGGAGAGATCTTTAATTGTGCTTGATTGTTTATTACATTTGTCACTAATAGCCGAGAGTTCATGTTGTATTTCAATCATTCGTGTCTCCGTGTCAACACGCGCATTCTCAGATCTTTTCAATTGACTGACTAGTTTTTCAACATCAAGAAGAGATCCTTTGTATATAACAAAGCCTTCAGGAACAGTTTGACTTTGATCCGATAAAGCGCCATCATCTCGTCGTGCTCTCTTCGAGGCTGGTCCATTACCATAAAATATAGGCAACAATTTTTTATTTCCTAAATTAACATTATTATTATTATTATTATTATTTCAGAAACAACATTAATTTATTAATTACTCACCCATTGCGAGAGATTGTAAAATTTTTTCCTCATCTTCTGTTTTATCGGATGTGTCAAGCTTTTCGCAATCTTTCTCATCTTTCTTCATATCTTTTGAATCTTCATCTTTTGTTTTATCGGTTAATTTACGATAATGTAAAGAATCTCTCGTTACAACTTTCTGTACTAATTTTCTAACTTGCGCTCTAGATAAATTCAATCCAAGAGTGTAAATTAATTCCTCGATATCTTTATCAAAAATATAACCACAATGAGTTTGATCAAAGTAAACAAACGATAAAAGCAAATAAGGATCATGTGTATAAAGTTTGGCTTTCTTCTTCTTTCCATCCTTGTCCTTGTCTTTCTTTCCATCCTTTGAGTCATCGTCCTAAAAAAAAGTAATTAAAAAAGAAAACTTTAATTTATAAACAAAAAAAAAATTAAGAGATAAAAAATTACCTCAGATTCTTCATCATCATCATCTTCATCTTCTTCATTCTTTTCTTTTTCTTTATCATCATTTTTGCTTCTAATTTCTTTATCATCTTTCTTATCTTTACTTCCCTCTCTTTTCTTATCGTCTTTTTTCTCTTCTTTTTTGCTTTTTTTCTCATCGTCCTTCTTTTTCTCGTCTTTTTTATCCTTTTTTTTGTCCTCCTCCTTTTCTTTTGGTTTCTCGGGAAGACTGCATAAACCACGATAAATACGAAAACCAAAATCTCTCATCAACATCTCATTAAAGAGTTCAGCAAACAAAGAAACCTCAAATGAATGTTCCTGTAATTTTAAAATATTTTTTTTTTCAAAAGAAAATTCAATAAAAAACTAAACAAAAAAAAATTACCTTTGTATCTTCTGGTCTATAATCGAGTAAAACGCTAAGCGACATCATTGTGCAGTCAAACTTTCCACTTTTTGCAGTTTTCGAAGGATGAACAACAATATGCGAAGATTCAGGAAGATTATACCTTTTCTCAAGTTGAGCGCGTTCTCGTTCGTAAATTTTCTTTTTATCTTCGTCGTGCTAAAAAAAAGAAATTAAAAAGAAAAAAAATTAATTTTAAATGCTAAATTAATAATTAGAAATATTTTATTTATTTTTATCTTAACATTTTTTTATAAATAAAATTAAATTTTCACCTCTTTATTGTCCTTTGATTTTTTATCATCTTTTGATTCTTCCTTTGGAGTAGGAGTACTTTCCTTTTCATTATCCTCGATATCGTCTTGTCGACCCTCTTCTTTTGCCTGCTCTGATTTTATTGTTTTCGAGAGTCTTGCCACAAGCTGTGATTTCAGACCCTTGGAACTGAGATTACGGGCCACCAATTCTTGACGCAATTCATTTACCTAAAAAAGAAGATTAATTTTCAGATTAGTTTAATAATTAATTAATAAAAAAAAACTGAAAAATCGAAGCAATAGAAAATTTAATAAATAAAAAGAGGATGATTTACATTCATGGACTTAGGATCCAATTCCGAATAATGTGTAGGATCTTTCTTCTCAGCAAGATTTTCATCCTGAAATATAAGAAATAATATGTCAACCTTAGTAATTATAATAAACTTTAAAAAAAAAGAAAAAAAAAGAAAACTACAAAAAACAAGCAGCCCCTATAACCGAACGATATCACACACTTTTCATTCTTTCATTATATCACACTCATTATAAATTTGATATCAATCTTCATTCATGATGAGACTTCTTAGTACGATTCAAGAAACTGCTAGACTCTCTTAGTGTCCTGGCTCTGGTGTCGGTGTGGTAGAGGTAGGTATAATGGGTTAAGCAATTATATATATATATATATATATTAATAATGTAAAAATATATTAATAATTAATATATATGCATATTTAAATGTCAAAAATTAAAAATATAATGTAATTTTGAGTTGATTTTGTCAAATAACATTGGAGATTTATCAGGAGAAGGGGGAAATGGCTCTGCTGCGCTCATCTTCGAGCAACCTTTTTTTTGCTTATTAAATTAGATAATATTTAAAATATGTATAGAAATAAAAAAACAGACACTGGGATCATCTGCCGTACATTGTCCATCGATCATTTTTTTAAAAATTGCATTTTTTTTTCTTTCAAAAATCTAAATTACAAAAAGAATTTTTACTTTTTTTCGCAAATATATAAGAAATAATAACACTAACAATTTAGTCTTTTTTTAAAAAAAAAAGTAATCGAAATTTTACTTTTATAATAAATTTCCTTTTGAAAAAATACATTATTCGGAAAAAGTCAATTCAAAAAAATTCAAAATTAGAATTAAAAAAAATCGATCGATGATCAAGTATTTTCGCCTATTGAAAAACCAGTTTAGAAATGAAAAAAGACCCCCAGCTGCACGATTTAATGATAATAATAATAATAATAATAATTGAATAATATGGGATGATGTGGGCAGTGCCTTTTGATCAGCGACGGCAGCCTCATCAGCATCATTGACAGCATCCGAATCGTCGAGATTAGAGGCAGCACGCAGCAATTTTCGTTCCAGTTGTTTCTTATAGTTGAGATGAAGCCCATCCCATTCCAGTCTAGTTGGTACGCATCGCCAAACATCTGGGAGAAATAGTATGACGGTTTCAACGCGCGAAGGCACCACACGCCCTGACTTGTGTGTTGTTTCTGCACGTCTGTAGTAGAGCTCCAAGAAGCGATACCTGTGCCGCAAGGAAAAACAATACCCAAACGTCAACTATGAAGTTAAATGCCTGACTTTTTAGCATTTTTTTTCCTTAATATCTAAAACAATGTGTCTTTCTTTTTTATTGTTTTGCCCGTTTTAAGCCCAAAATTTTTATTATTTCAAAAAAAAACATATTAAGAGAAAAGAAAAAAAAATTTGAAATATTTCGCCCTAATCATCTCGAGCATACCAATAAAATCCAGGTTCCTTCCTTGTTCCTCCCTTGCGATCACTATTATATATACATACCTCCTGCGAATGAACTCGAATTATAATCTTAAATCTATTATCAATTTATTATTAGCTTTCTCTCTTTTAAATTGAAAATCCGAGAAAAAAAATTGTTAATCGTTAAAAAAAAGTGGGTCTTTTTTTAGAACTGAAAACGAGTTAAATTATTAATATAAATAGAAAAAAAAGAATACTTGAATCGTACCATTGAGTACAGCTGGACAAATCAATACCAGTGAGTGCTTTACAGGTTCTTATGGCAGTTCTAATGAGAACAGATGGATCTTTCTCAGGATTTGCCCCATCTAAAGAAGGACTCCATGGTCCACCAATTGCCATTGTTTCATTTTTACCGCGTAAACCAACTAAAAAATTAATAAGTCGAGTTGGATGAATATAATCGCGATCAGGATCTCTGTCTTCTGTAACACCGCAGCAACGTTTGTAAATTTCCTCCATTGCTGGCATTGATATTAGCATCACCTGCAAAAAAATTACGTTTTATATCAAAATTTTTTATTAAACTTAATTAATGAAAAGGTAAAATATTTACCTTGGCAGAGAAAAGATAATCCGAATCGGCTGGTTCTAATACGGCATTATTTTCTATATACGAATCTACATCTTTATGCATCACATGAAATGAACATGGTTTATTTAATGTGAATGGCACATGCGGTGGGAATGCATCCACCCATCTTAAATTTGTAGAAAAAAAATCGCTAGGAATGTACATATTTTGATAACGTCGCTTTATTTCCAATACGTCTGCTTCGGGCCTTAAAGAGAAAAAAAAATTACGAAAACAAATAAACAGAAAATATTTCCACGTATGGAATTTTTTACTTACAAGTCGAGGGCAATTTTCGGTATTTGTACCATATAACGTGGAACAACACGAGTACGGCGACGAGGTCTTGGCGATTTACTTCTTCTAGTTCTTGATGGACTACGCTCGTCTTTCTTTTCACGTTCTCGATTTCTTTCCTCCCGACGACGTTTTCTCTCAATTTCCTCATCGTCATTGCGACGTTCTCGTGATCTTTCTCGTATTCTTCCAGCTTTCGTACGATTTGTAGACGCAACTCCACTATTATTGTTAGAACTAAATCTGTTTAAAGAAAATAAATTAAATTAACTATGTGAAATAAATATTATTTTTTTAAAAACAATTTTATATTTTAACCTGCTATTTGAATTTTCAGATGGTGGAGGAACGGCGTTATATGTTCCAGAAGGTCGTATTTGTTGTTGTTGACGATTTGATTGACTTGTTTGATGAGTATTTACGTTACTATTATTGGTACTGTTGCCCATAGGAAGTACTTGAATTCTTGTAGCGTTCCATTTAAAAGGCATTGATGGATTATAAGACGCTTCCACTAGAACGCGATCACCTACAATTGGATTCGATCCCTTGACACAAGCACTGAAATAAAATTTAATTTATAATGAAAAATCAATACATTATATGTCACAAGCTTATAAATTATTTTCACTATTCGATAAACTTTAACAAATAAAAATTTAAAAACCATTTTAAATTAATGTAAAATATACCTTGTTTGAAAGAATACATCCTCATCAACGAAGCCAAAATTATCATGAACTTTGGTAACTATGCCAGTAAATACACGTTGCTTTGTTGATGATGAGGACTGAACGTTTTGTTGAACTTGTTGCGTAACACCGGCAACCGATTGTTGAAATGCATTTGTATTTAACGCCCTTGGAGTTGGATATGAAACTGTTGCCACTTGAGGATATAATTGTCCCGCAATGCCCGATTGTAGATTTGAACTGAGAGTTGCCATTGAGGCCATTGTCAAGTTTTGCTAGAAAAGCAAAAAGATTTCTTTTGCAATGCAGTTGCAGTTTCAATTTCTATTAACTCATCAAATTCTTATTTTAAAAATTTACTAACTTGTTGTAAACCTAAACTCTGCTGATACACTTGTTGAGTTTGTTGTTGATACTGAACCATTGGTTGACCTCCAATACTTCCCATTGCTTGTCCCAACATTTGTTGTTGTATATTTTGAATTTGTCCTGTTTAACGATTTTTAATGTATTAACTCCAAAAATTTATATTTTATGCAATTATTGACATTTGTATAAAAAATTGAAATCTCTTACAATTATATACACAATATTATTTCTCATAATACAATATTTTTATATAGAAAAACAAAATTATTCAACTTTAATAAAAAAAAAAAAACTAAAGAAATAAATATTTATCATTCTTCAGGTACACTACAAACTAAAATTGATAATACTATCTTAAAATAATCAATATTTTTTATATCTTAGTGTTATTACTCTGATATCATTGTTATAAATAATAAATATAAATATACCAAATATTTCATATTTTCAACTACAAAAATAAATAAAACATCATAAAAACATGCAAATAAAAAGGGAAAAAATATGAGGAAAGTTATAAATAAAGAATAAAAAAAAGTATGTATTTTCTGACAAAATTTGGTAACATTAGGATCATCGACCTCTTATGCATATCAAAATTTAACAGTAAAAAAAAAAAGTAAAATTAACAAACATGACGTGTTTACCTGAATTTCTAACCCATGGTGGATTCTTTCCACCTCCAAATGGTGATATATTACTCATTATTGCAAGATTTTTATGGTTTCCGCAATGAATAATCAATCTAATTTAATAAATTTTTATTTATTTCCAATATCGCGTCTTTCACTTCGGCGCCATATTTCCAACATTGATGATGAACAATGATGATAAAAAATACTGTAGATAAGCAACTTTAGCCAAGATATCCATTTTTAATAGAGCATAAAAACTCAAGATGTCTCCACAGGAATAAACTGTGAACTTATCTGTGATTTTAATTTATAAAGAAAAAAAAATATAATATATAAATGAATTTACGCGTATTGACTACCAAGTACTATTCAAAAAATATGAATAATTATTCAATTTACAGTATTTTGCCCAATTATTAAAAATTTTAAACTAATTTTAATAATTTTATTAATAAAATTATTAATTACGTTCACAAGAATAGTTTATTGGGATCAAATTTTTCCCGCTATAATAATATCGATTTGTGTTTTCGATATATTATAACCTGTCAAAAGCATAATTTAAAAAAAAACAACGATGAAAAAAATGAGAAAAATAGGGTTTAAATACTTATTTTAATACTTTCAGTAGGAAAGTAATTATTCATCTAATTTGTGTATTATAAATTATGATAAATTAGTGAGATTTAATTTTTTTTCTTTTTAATTGATTAAGTGTCATTTAGATTTTGTCGCATGATAAAAAAAGGAACGGTCCACGTGAAGGACGACTCACACACTTAAAAATAAAAAAAAGAATAATATTCAAGGAGTATTGGTATTTTATTGCCTTTGAAACAAATTTATTTAATTATTTGTTAAATATATTGCAGCAATTACACTTTTAAACATGTTTATTAGAAATCGAATAATTCAGAGGTTATGTCAACAATGTATAAAAGGTTTAAAAAGAAAACAAAATTCATTGACATGCACTTATTTAAAGGTGAGTTTTTAATCGGAAAATATCTGTAAATTGTATAATATTTTAAATTTACGTTATTTTTATTTATAAAATTTTGGTTTTTAACTTGGAAATTTAATTTTCTCTTTTATTGTTAAGAGTTACAACAATGAGAACTCAATTCTTCAAATTACAGAATGTATACATTACATAACAATAAAAAATGTAGTTTCCTTTATTTTGCATTTTTGTTTTTAGAAAATTGAAAGACAATTTTGTCAGTCAACGATAAATTGTCAAACTCGCGATTTAGTTAATCCAGAAGTGTCGTCGTTGGAAAAAAATTTACCAGTGAACCGATTTGCAAAAAGAACCCATACATGTGGTGAATTAGGAATTGAAAATGTTGGCGAAAATATCACACTCTCCGGATGGGTCGAGTTCCAAAGAATGGGAAAATTTGTCATTTTACGTGATGGATATGGATCAACACAATTGCTCATTCCCGAGGAGGTATAATAATTTTATCTAAAAAAGTAATTTATTTACAAAAACAATTAAAATTTTTTTTAAAGATTATTAATTTGTTATTTTTTTTAGCGAAAAGATTTGTATGAGATGACGCGAAATTTGACATTTGAAAGTGTCATAACGGCAACTGGTCGAGTTGTAGAAAGACCGGCAGGTCAAGAAAACAAATCAATGGAAACAGGTAAAATTGAAATTTTAGTTGAATCCGTCAATGTTTTAAATGAAGCAAAAGCACAATTACCATTTTCGCTGAGGCAATTCAATAAAGCAAAGGAACAATTACAAATGCAATATCGTTATCTTGCATTGAGATTTCCCGAGTTACAGCGAAATTTGAAAATGAGATCAGAAATTGTTTCGAGAATGAGAGAGTACTTATTGAACTATTGTGGTTTCGTAGACATTGAAACTCCGACACTTTTTCGACGAACTCCCGGGGTTGGTATTTATCAATTTTAATTGAGTCTGCATTATAGTTATTAATTTATTATATATAATAGTTAATATATATTTTTAGTTTATTATTTTCAATTTTATTTGATAAATATCTTATTTATTGTATTTTTAAAAATAATTTAAGGGCGCTCGGGAGTTTGTCGTACCCACGAGATTTGAGGGAAAATTTTATTCCCTCGTGCAAAGTCCACAACAATTTAAACAATTGTTAATGATCGGTGGTTTCGATAGGTATTTTCAAATTGCTCGTTGTTACAGAGACGAAGGTTCGCGACCTGATCGACAGCCCGAATTCACACAAGTAAATTTATTCATTATTTATTTATTATTTTATTAGTATTTTGGAAAATTGAACATTAAATATATTATATGTTATGTAAATTTTTTGTTACAGTTAGATATAGAAATGTCTTTCTCGGATCGTGAGAAATTAATGCAATTAGTTGAAGAATTAATAGTCTTCTGTTGGCCACAAGAATTCGGTTCTATACAGCTTCCTTTTCCTCAGATAACTTTTGCAGACTCTATGGAAAAATATGGCGTTGATGCGCCGGATTTGCTAATTCCATTTCAGGTACAATTCTCTTTCAATATTTATCAGAAAATAAAATAATTAAAAAAATTACAATAAATATTTGTTTTTTTTATTTAGCTTCAGAATATAACAGAATGTTTTGATTCTGATTTTTCGTCTGAAAATGAAACTTTTGGGGCTTATGCTGTCGTTTTTCCAGGATGTAGTGTAAGTATTTTTTTTATTAAAAAATAATTAATATGAATTAATTAATAAAGAAAATATATAAATATGAAATAATTACAGAAACATCTTACAAAGGCAATTCAAGAGAAACTGAGCAATGCACAAAGAATGTATTTCAAAAATACAAAATTGCTGCAACTGAAATTTTCAAAAGACAGTTTATCAGCGAAATTAGCCAAAAGTCTTTCTGAAAATTCAGCAAAGAATACTTTAGAAAAACTTGAACTGAATGATGGTGATGCTATATTTTTGGCATATGGAAACAAAACAGATTCTGTATGTAATTAAATATTTTTTAGTAAATTAATTATTTATTAATTTATTTAGGTAATTATTTTATTATTTGTTTAATTTTATTAAAAATATTCATCTGGAAAAAATGTTTAATTATTATTTTTTTTTAATATTTTCCTTAGCAAAGTGTTGTTGGAAAATTACGAGTTCAATTCGCGGATATCTTGGAATCAAATGGACATAATATACGATCTCCGGGATATAAATTTATTTGGATCGTGGACTTTCCTCTATTTACACTCGAGGATGGAAATTTAAAATCTACTCATCATCCATTTACTCGTCCTCATCATGAAGACATGGAATATTTAGCCACTGATCCCATAAAGGTTTATAAATTAATTTTTTATTTTCTTATGTTTTGACCATAATTTTTTAATTTATATTTGTTCTACTAAAATGAAAATTAGGTTCGAGGTTTACATTATGATTTGGTGATGAATGGCATTGAAATTGGAGGAGGTTCAACTAGAATTCACGAACCAGAATTACAGACAAATATTTTAAAGATGTTAGACATAAGCACGGATCAATTGAATCATTTAATTGAAGCTCTTTCATGTGGTGCTCCTCCTCACGGTGGAATTGCATTGGGTAATTAAAAAAAGTTTTTCTCCAATTTTTTAGAATTTAAATTAAATTTTTCTAATTAAAATCGATTCACTTTAAATTAAAATTTTGCAATTATAATGTAATTTTTATTGTTAAAAACATTGTTTTTCATTTTAAAAAAATTATCAATTAACATGAAATAATTAATCGTTTAGGTATTGATCGTTTCATTTCTATTCTTTGTAAATCGGCGAGTATAAGAGAAGTGATGGCGTTCCCAAAAACTTTAGAGGGTAAAGATTTAATGTCAGAAGCACCAGCGTCAATTTCTGATGAAGAAAAGCAATTTTATCACCTAAAATAATGATTCCCAAATAATTAATTCATAATTGAAAATAATGTGACATTGTTGGTGAGTGATTTTTTTTGCATTTCAATATCTAATAATAATTGGTATTCAAATTGTTAATTTGATTTTATGTATAATAAATATTTTATTATGTTTATAATATGGATTTTGAGGGATAAAAAAATTAAAAAGAGAATGAGGTGTACAAAAAACGATTTATTTTAAAAAACTTGTGTGCATAATCGAAAAATCAGGGTTTTTTATTTCACCCATTTCAGAAAATATGCTTACAAAAGAATTATGTGTTTATCAATGAATATTATCAGCGCTGTAAAATTTGAAAAGAAATATCGAAAACTTTGAAAATGATTTCAATATTTTTTAGTAAAAAAAAAACAGTAGAAAAAGGAGATTTTTCTTAAAAGAATAAAATTTCAAGGTTTTCAAATTTTTCTCTCATCCAGAAAAAAATATCGAACCTTTTGAATTTATTTTTTTTAACGCACTGACACACAATTTTATTTAACTTAACTCACAATTTACATGAACAAACGGGAAATTTTTTTTATTATATTTACGGAAATTCGTGCGATCTAAGAAATTTAAAAACAATACTTGTGCTAAATTCTAAAATCGCAAAAAAAGTTTCGCAATTTAGAATTTAATTTTTTCTTTTTATAATGGAAGAAATGATTCACTCTTGAGACTGGCTTAAAAAGAAGGAAAAAAATCGAATGAAACCTATTGCCTCGTTATTTTCTCGTTCTCTATTTGGAAGCCAATTGCGAAGGAACAAATTAATTCAACTATTATTCATTATTTGTTAATTATAATAATTATGAAAGAGAAAAAAAAACATCGTTATCATTATTACACGAGTAACAGCCACTTATTTTTCACTTAATTAATAATATGAAATATTATTTAATTATCTACACTTTTAACGTTTTCATTGTTAAATTTCTTTAAATTTCTCAATTTTTGAAAAGAAATAGAAAAATTGATTAATTTTTACATAAATTGGAGTAAAAAAAAATTTACTGAATTATGAGATGTTTTTTTTACAAACAAAAGAAGAAAAATCTAGCATATAACGTAACGAAACGGGAAAATTTTCATTTTATTTTTTATAATTTCGAAAAAAATGTATATTTTTTATTTAAATTATAAATAAAGAGAAATAAAAATATTTTTTTTTTACTCAAATTTTGTAACTGATTTTCTTTTGAACATAACAAGAGAATTTTAATTATCGTTTATTCGTTATATATGTATAATATTTATAACATTCAAACGGAATTTATCGTGAAATCCAATTTCATTCGTTTTAACTGACATTTTTCCACTCACACTCGCAAAAGTAATTGTAAATTAATTTTAAAAAAAATATATATCTTTCAATATTCTTTTTTTTTTCTTTTTATTTTCGCTTTTCTCTCGTTTTTCATATGTAATCAATGATTTTGCGTAGAATTAAACACTTATATTTCTTTTAAGTAAACATGAGCATTTTTTTGCTTCGGAAGTCTGTATTGTTTATAAAAATACTATTTTACAGAAACTCGCACATGGGATTTATAAAAAACATTTGAATATTATCAGCTTGTTAATATTATAGTTACAATGATTTCATTTTATGTTTTTAAATTATTTTTAATAATCTTTGTAGACTTCTGAGAATTGTAATATTAATTAATGAATTAATCATTAATAATTAACCTTATTTTTAATTATTAATGTTAATTTTAATGTTTCAAAATTCTATTCACATGTTATGAAAAATATATAAGAAATATTGATAAATAAACAAAATATTAATGAAAACGACAGTCAATGAATTATTTAAATAGAAAAATTTATGTTTTTTTCGCATTTTCGATAAAAAAGGTTTTTTAAATTACTTAATTATCTTCTCATTTGTTTTCATTGTTAATCGAAAGGCTTATCATCACGGCAGTAAATAGTGAATTCTGAACACTTTGAACACAATAAGAAAAATTGACACGCAAAAAATTGTTCTACATAAATAATGTCTACATTTTTGTAACACGGAAGTTGATTAAACTAATCACAAAATTATAGCAGTTTTTTGTTTTGTTAATTAAAATCTGCAATCGTCAGTATTACGTGAAAATAGATTGAAATTTTAAAAGAAACGAGTTTTCGAATATTTAAAAAATCTTATTTATTTTTAAATCAATAATAATAATAATAATTACCAAATATCTTATTATTATTTTATTTAATTATGCGAATTCATTCTTGTATAATTAATTATTGTTAAAAATAATAAAGTTTTCGTAATCAATGATTCAACGATGAATCATTTTCAAAAGAAACGATTACTGCATTCTAAATTTTTGTCAATAATTCAATTGTTTCTTAATATTTTGAATATTAACTCTAAAATTCCGTAGTAGATTGTACGTGGCTTTTAATTGACACAAAATCAAGTTACACTCTAATAAGTTTCTTCTTTTAATTATAATACAAGAAAATCGCTTCGCGATCTAATTCTAAAGCTTAGGTTGCATTAAAAGAAAATTACATACCAGTGATAATAATTAGTCAATCTCAAAGACAATTTGAATATGTTTGTCTTTTGGAAAACAAATTCTGTCACGTTTTTTCATAAATAAAAAAAAGCAAGAGGAAGAGGCAATTATTGCATAAACTTTTATTTATTTTTTTTGTTTTATTTTATTTATGCTCTTGTTTTAAATAAATTTTAATGAATTTCGCTCTATACAAATAATATAGGAAATTAGCAATTTTTGTTTTATTTTTATACAAATGCAAAGCAAAAAAAATTTTTAAAATCACTTAAAAATGAAGGGAGAAAAAAAGAAAAGTAAAGTAACTTAAAGAATGTACAAAACGAATATATATATTATATATACATCAGAAGAGCAAAAATTTTTAAAAAGCAATGTTCGTGAAACCGTCGAAAATATTTAGACAAACTTTCTTTTTTTTGGCGAAAAAAACTTACACTATTTTACAAAACAAATCTTGATAATGAAATATTTTTATTGATGAGTTTGTTAAATGCGCGTTAAAAACTTCTTTTTTTTCTATCACGATCATTTTATAATCTCGAGTCAATAATTAAAAGTGGAAAAAATGTTTGTAGACGTGTGAAAAATTAGAAAAAAAATTTTTTGGCGTGAAGACGGTCCATTTTTTGGAATGAAGTCAAGCAAGATTGTCGTCTATTGAAAATCTATCTGGAAATCGCTAATTGGGAAAAAAATTGTTTACGATTAGCTCTACTGTAGCTTAAAAATGGGAAAAATATACTCGATCGAAAACTGAAACGCTGAGTAATACGAAATTATTTACAAGAAAATTTACTCGAATTTCGGTTCCCGTCGTTTATTCTCATTCACTCACTCTTTCTCTCTGAAGAATTTCTTTCTCAAAATCTTCGAATATAATTTAAAAATTCCAACAACTCTTAATTTTCGTATTCTTTTCTGTCTCTTTCTTTCTTTTTTTTTGATTGTTGAAAATTTTTCTAAATTATGAAAATTTCATATTTTATAAATTAAAAAAATGAAATTTAAAATCATTTCCATTAAAACAAAATGAAATGTAATTTTTTTTTTAATTTCAAATTTATTTATTAATTTTTCATTGAATAATTATTTAATTTGCTTTCTTAATTTAAAATTTCATACATAATTTAATATCTTTTTTAAACAAATTATATTTTTAATCGAAATAAGAATTTTCTTTAAAGCAAATTTCTTAATTAAGAAAAAAAATAATTTTCAATTTGAAAAATTATATTTGATAAAAAATAAAATTATACTGAAAAAATGGTCTTTAATGACAAAAATGATTTATTAATGAAGAAAATAACTTTAACGAAAACAATTACGTTTAATGAAAAAAATTAATCGTTATCTTTAAAGGAATTTTCTAATTTTTGAAACACTTTTTTTTTTTTTTTTTTTTTACTAAAACATAATTAATTTGGAATTTATTTCAGTAATTTTTACTCAAGTTAATTTAATTTTAGTTAATTTGAAATAAATTAATTTTAATTAATTAAATTTAACGTATTTTTTTATTATTATTCTCGGAATGATATTAAGAACAGGAAGATTTTGAGGAAGACTTGAAAACGAAAAAACACTATAGAGATGACTCTTTTAGCTTCTGCAATGGTATTTGAAATCGTCGACAGGAAAGATTTATCAAATGATTGATATCGAAGATATTTAACGAAAAACAAAGTCGCGAAACTCCAAAAAAAAGAAGAAAAAAACGAACTCAGAGAGCGCGCGATTTTTGTTTCACGTTCTCGACGTCTCTTTCGTAGGTTCATCCAGAAAGGCGTCTTTACGATATTCTCGTTAAAATTTCAATATTTTTCTCTTTCCTTTTCGTTTTTATCACCATTATCATCATCATCATCATCATCATCATCATCATCATCATCATCATCTTTTTTCTTTCCTTTCCTTTTTTTTGTTTTTTTTTGTTTTTTATTTTATTTATTTTTTTTTTAAATCACATTGCTTGCTCGATCAACTCATTCTTTCTGCACTTCATTAAACTTCTTTTCTTCTCGATGACAAAATAATCTTGCGAGCAAACTCTTCTGAGAGTTAAATTTTTTTTACGCATTTGAATCCTCAATGGTGGGCAGCCAAAATGCCATATTCGTGCATGCCGATGCCAACATCATGTATTTAGGATTAAACTGGATGCATTGTACTGGTCCTGGGTGATCACCATTCAACATGCAAACTTTAAAGCCATTGTCTGCGTTCCATACGTGAACTCGACCTGAAAACAATTTTTAATAAGTTCAAAATTTTAAAGCGTACAATTTTCAATTATATTTTGACTTCAAATGGATGTCGTTTTTTATCGCTTGCAAATTTTAATTTATCCGATTGTCAATGCTGCAATTAAAATTCAATTCAGTCGAATAGAGAAAAAAAATGAAATATTAGGTCAAATAGGTGAGAGAATTAAAATTAGAAGAATAAAAATGAATAAATAATGACCGGTGTGGCCTGAATTAACGACAATTTAAACAATAATACCTTCAAATAATATTCATAGCTGTAATGAAAATGTTAATTTAAAACAATATAGTAGCTACAAAGAAGAATTACAATTAATTATTCCATACAATTTTCTTTTCTTTCAACAAAGTATTTAAAAATTTTTTTTTACTTCAATCGTTTCAAATTTATGTTTATAAAATTTATAAACAAGGTAAAGGAACAGATAAAAAATTAAATTCATAAAAATAATAAAAATATTTCACGTTTTACAAATAAACACCCAGATATTTAGTTTTTTGAGACCTTTTCTGAAGTAAGTAAAACATGAAAAAACTGCTTTCAAATTTTTATGTGTAATATATTATGCAAATTTATCTTTATAGAATAGTTTCTTGATTTATGAATAATGATAACAATTGACTAAGTCTTAGATTTAAAAATAGAATTTATTTTTCAAAAGTCGGGACTACGTATTCCCGTTGTTTTTATTTATTTTTTTATTTTGGCAATTTTCATTTTGCAAATAAAATGAAAAAATATATTTCGATCTAAATGAAAAAATGATGAATGAATAATAATAATAATAATAATAATAATAATAATAATAATAATAATAATAATAATTAACAATTACTGATAATTTAAAAAAATCGTTCGGAAATTCAAGAATCATATAAAGTTCCACGTGGTTTTTATTGTCAATGTACACGTGTACTTTCTCAATATAAAATTGCACATGCGTGAATAATCTTTAAAACTTTGTTTACTGAAAACAATATTTATTTTGTTTTCAATAATCTCATCTGTAAAATAAATAAATGCGCACATTTGTATTAGTTGCATGTTTTGAAAAATATACATATAACTCCGATATAATGTATGCTATATTAAGATATGAATTAATAAATATTAATAATTATTATTTATGTAATTAATTAGTTTATTTTTTTATTTTTGAAATTTAGTTTAGCTTGAAACAAATAAATAATACATATTTAATTAGTTTTTAAAAATGTTTTATTTACATATTTATCAACAAAGAAAAATAATAATAATAATTTTGAAAATGGAATTTCAAAAAGTTTTGGATTATATCAATTGTTTTTCTGTTTGTAATATTTATTTCTGAATATCTTTAAGCAATGTTATTACTACTATTATGTATTACGTAATAATTTAAAAATCCATATAATAACAACTATTATATAGGCCTTAAAATTTTCAAACCTAACCTCACTTTTCGAATCCAAGCTATAATAACAAAAAATAAAAATAAAAAAAGTCGAACAAAAAGAAAGTAAATCGTACCTAAAAACGAATAAGGATAAAAAAAAATATTGAAATAAATTATATTCAATAATGATTTTTTTCTTAAAGAGAGAAACTTTGAAAAAGAGTTTTATCTCACCATCAGTGGAACCACTGAAAACAAATTGCGAATCGGGACTAAAACTAGCCTCGACTGCAATTCCTTTATTATTCAAATGTCCAGTAAACGTCTGTAAAGGAGTTCCATGAAAAGCATCAACGAGTCGAATGATGCTACCATTTGTTGATATTAAAATTGTCTTTCCATCACGACTAAATTTCAGGCCTGTCCAGTCACATTCTTTTTCCTGTTGCAATTTAAATGTGATGAATGGACCCTTGTCAAAACTCCGAAGATCATATAATTTAACACACTCGGAATTTACACCGGCAGCAAAAATCAAACCCTCAGGATCATATGCGGCTACTGGTCGTCCCGAAACATTCATCACCCCATGACAATTGGGAGATCTCAAATCCCAAAGTCGTAATGTTTTATCAAGTGAACCTGACAAAAAAGTGTCATCAATTGGACTGATGCACAGTGATACGACTTTTTTTGTATGTCCGGGAAAATATCTAATGTATTTGTTATCATGCAAGCTCAAATAGCGTATTGTGTCATCAATTTTGGTACTACTGTGAATTGCGGTATTTTTTGCATGTGTGAAATGTATCAAATCGACGCCGTATTTTTTTGAATTGACGGTTCGCATTTGTGTCCCTTTCTCGCAATCATAAATGACAATTTGATCATCCTCGGAACATGAGATGAGTAATTCTCCATTATTAGAGAAGTCGATGCTGTTAATTCGGTCTGTGTTCTCGCGAAATATTTTCGCGACTTTGAAACTTCGCACCACATGGTCGACAAGCTTCATTTCTAAAGAAGGGCGGGCGGACCCTTCCTTCCTTCCTTCTGTGCTTCCGCTCACCCTTCCTGATTTCGTAAAAATTTGGATGAAATTATTGCCTCGCGGCGCGTCCTGATACGTCAAGTATATAATGCAGGACGTAAACCCGCGCGCGAGTCTCGTGAATAATATTCACTCAACAAACTTTGACACGTGGATTTTGTTATCACTGATAATATTAAAGATTTATTCACAATGAGTTTTTGATTGAAAATTGATAAAGGATCCTCCCAAGACTTAATCGTGATTTCTCCTCTTGTCCCGCGTGTACTTATACTAACACCAATACTAGATTATTCTAATTCAAGAGCGACGCCGTGAGAAAATACTGCAGTGGTTTATTATGGCGTTTTTATGCTTCGTTTTCATCAATGAAAATGACAATTTCTTTGAAAATCGAGCTTAAAATTTTAAGCTTAAGGTGCTTTTATACCTCAAATTTCGATCAGATGAACATTATTTCTGGACCGTGAAAAGTCATTTTCACGGCGGGTATTTTTGAATTGTTATTTATTGTTATTTATGATTTATTGTTATTTATGACTCCTGTGTAACCTCCTCGATTGTAAAGAAAGCAATATCCGAGTGATTGTTATTTAAGGAAATCAAGATAGGTTATTAAATTTTAAGGAACCATATTATTAAGGACATTGATTTGGTTGTTGATATATTTCTAAGAATGCTCAATGTTCATTAGGTACTTCACTTTCAAATATGGCTGCCCGATCAGCTGGAAGCCTGGAGGAACAACAAATAATTTTACTATAGTCCATCTACAGTTGGTAACGTTGAAAACTTCAAATACTTAACCTCAAAATCACTTGTTTGACAGTTCTTTATTGTTTTTTTCGTTTGTTGTCCCTCCAGGCTTGGACGTCATCAGCCTCTGACGTCACAAGGTAAAATGCCTAATACCATAATTTTTTTTTTTATAAATCGTTTAGTTATTCTGACTGATTCTGACACGAACAAAAGTTAATACATACGTATCGTCCCATCCTGGCTAGTTAAACTTAAGCGACTTCTACAATAACTTTTTTTATCGACATGAACAAAATATAATGAATGCTCTGATGTAACCATGTGCGCGCACCTTTAAGGTGAATTTTGTGAGCATCGACAAGTTGATGTAGAAGCAGCTTTATCAGTTATGTTATGTTTACTTTATTTACTGTAAACAATTTAAGACGTTATTAAGAAAATAAATAGGTCTACAAGTAGATATTACATTCAAAAGGTAATTTTTTTTTAATTATTTAAACTTTTATAAAAAGCAAATATTTTTGCATTTTATGAAAAAAAAGCAAAGAGAAGAATTGTTCATTTTGATATGAGTTATGTCTTTCATAAATTAAGATTAACACCGGCGTGTTGAAGGTTAAATTTCATGGTCAAAGCATAGGAAAGAAAGGAATGGAATGCGGAAAGTAAAAAAAAAAAACCTGTCGCTTTGTAGCTTTTTTTATTATGCTTAAAATATTTCATGTTTATTTCTTGAAGACAATTCACAATACACAATTAAAATATTGTTGAATTCGTATTTTTTTCTATTTTATAAACCACGGTCAAATTGTGAGAAAAATTTCATAGACAATAAACTTGTTCATTTTTGAGATTTTTGTAAAATATTATTTTGTATTTTAATTTTTAGATTATGGACGTGAAGTACAATAAGGGTAAATACCTGAAACTCTTGAAGTTTCTAAAACGAAGAAAATTAGCCGACCATCTACGAGAGAAGAAAGGCAACTTGTCTCATTCGCTTGTGGAAGAGGCACAAAGGGATATTAATGTAATATTCTCTGAGTCTAGTGTCCAAAGGCTGAACACGATAATACAAAAGTATTGGAAAAAAATATATGAAGACGTAGAGAGTAATGGTATATTATATTTTGTTTATTCGTATATTTATATTGTGTTTTTATCAATTTCTTTATATTGATTATATAGCTTTTTGTCAATGAAAATAATCACGTTTAATTTTATAAAATTATTCAATTTTCAGAACCAGATAGCCGCATTGTTACTATCAGTAGGTGCATTATAGCTAAAAGAAAGGAAGAGACCTGTGAAGCGGTTACAAATTACGTAATTAAAACCAAAGACTCTAATTTTATGAAAGGGCACATAAAATCTAGACTAATAAAAGCGGCTATGCTAGAGCAACATGGTATTTCTATTATGTCGAATAATGAATTAAATGATTGTCGTATTCACATTCATGCAAACTATAAAGAAATTAAAAAGGTTTGGTCTAAAACAGTAATTTCTAAAATTAGAATAAAATTTAGTAATAATACAAAATTGTACAATTTTTTTTTATTCCAAATTGTTTAAATATTTCCTTTTTTCGCAGGCTGTAATGAATCATTTACAAACAGACAGAAATTCGGAAATAGATCACGATTCCAATTGGAGTGAAGTGTCAGATATTTATGAATCGCCAACTAATTCACCCATTGGCAATGCTTCGAAGAAGCGAAGAATTTCAATAAAGGAGGAAAATGATTCTTCTGACGATGAAGAATCTGTCACGATTAAAAAGGAAGCGATTAGTACAGCTGAATATGATGAACCTCTCGAATCAGCCTCTAATCTAAAGGAATTAGTTATACCATTAGAGCGCGTCTACATTCCACCCAAAAAAGACGTTTCAAATGATCATGTGAAAAAATTATTTTCCCCATGGTTTCGTATGCTTTCAGATGAGGAGCATCTTCAGGAAATAAAAAAAAAATTCATTTCTCAGTACCAGCAAAAGAAACGCAAATTAATTAGTGACTGTCAAATGGCTGTTGAAGAATTTATAACTGATTGTGAACATGCTGTGGATGAATTATTTGCCAACGTTCATCGTAATTATCGAAGACAACCGAGTATTAAAGCTTTGTGACCTATCAAATTTAAAAATATGTCTATTTTTCATGTGATCAACGAAAAACAGAAATATCGATTTTAAGATAGCACAAGAGTTTACAGAAATTTTACATTACGACGGTACATTAGAAATCTTGAACTACAATTATTATGTATACTCAAAAATATTCTCAATGTTAATTTATTAATAGAACAATATTATTAATACAATAATTATATTAACAATATTAATATTAAAAATACATTGAGTAAAATATTTTTGATGCACATGTTTACATATGATAAAAATTACATAGCATTTCCAATGTACCGTTATAAAATTTATCTTTTATTATTTTTATATGTTCAATTAAAAAAAGTAATCAGAATAAATTTTATCTTTCATACAAATCTTTTTTTTATTCTTTTTTCATTGTATGTAATTTACCTTGCACCAAAGAATTAAGATTTTGAATCAGTGTGACGTAATCCCGTTCGTTGCCATGACAACTTCTATAGGCGGCAGATGTGAGTGCACCTTAATAAATGATGCTGCTGCATTAGTTGAACTTAACTTCCCAACCCTGTGATGGTAACTGACATGTTTTTCTTGAAAATTGTTTAAATGAAAATTTTTAGAGGCCATTTAAACAAAACAAACAAATGAAAATTTTTCAAAAAAATATGGAAATTGATCGATCATGTGGTTGTAAAGGAATAAGAACCTGTTTAATTTGTGAAAAAAAATATTCAATTACTAAATTAAATCTTGCTTCTGAACTTGAGGTATGTAATGTTTATAATCATAACCTATTTTAGAAAAGGTATATATATGTATGTTATTTAAAACTGGAATTTTATTCATTGCTAGAAAATGATACCTCAATTTTAATTAATAAAAATAACTAATTCAATTTTAATTTCAGAAACGTCCAACTTTTGTTTATTGTCTATATTGTAATAAGGCCTGGCCCGGTTGGAATTATAATGAATTTCAAATTCATCCAAATCATTCTGGAAAACCAATTGATTATCCTGGAGTTTATATACAGGTTTTTGAATAAATATTAATTTTTATAAAATTGACCATTTTTTTTTACGTAATTATCACTTTTTAATTAAAATCAATTTTTTAGTATACTTGAAAAAGGTTTCTATTTTTACAGACGGATTTTCTAAGTACAGAGGAAGCCAATTCTTTAATGAAAGATCTAGATTCATTACCTTGGGATATATCTCAAAGCGGTCGCAGAAAGCAGGTAAAAGTCTCAAAGACTGATTTTCTAATTAAAAAAAAAAAAACAATTTTTTGATATCTGTTAAATAAATGAATGTCTCATTTTTTAGAATTATGGACCAAAGTGTAACTTTAAAAAGCGACGACTACGTTTAGGTTTATTCTCAGGATTTCCCAAGAAAACTCGCTTCGTTCAAGAAAAATTTTTAGATGTTGGGTTATTGAAAGATTTTAAGACAATCGAACAATGTAGTCTTGAATATAATCCAGATCGAGGAGCTTCTATCGATCCTCATATTGACGATTGTTGGATTTGGGGCGAAAGAATTGTTACGGTCAATGTAATTGCGGATTCTGTCTTAACAATGACTCCTTATACAGAGAATAATCGGTATAATTTAGATTGTGTCAATTCTCAAAAACTTATCGGAAACGAAAATAGTGTGACTAAACCGTCATGTGAAAATATTGTTGTAAGAATACCAATGCCTGAACGATCATTGCTTGTTCTTTATGGAGCTGCAAGGTACGTAATCATCAAAATAAAATAAAAAAAACTAATGTAATTATGATAAAAAATGTTTATTTTGTCGTTTATTTCTTTTTGCAGATATGCTTGGGAACATGCAGTTCTTCGAGAGGATGTTAATTCACGTCGAGTGTGTCTTGCGTATCGAGAATTTACCACTCCATATCTTCCCAAAGGTGATCACAGTCTGGAAGCTGTAGAAATTCTCGAGCAGGCAAACAATTTTTGGTAATAAATTTATTAAAATTAGAAACTTGTTTAAGTATAAAAATAACATTTACACATTTCAAGTATGAGTTCTTTTCAATATAATAAATGTAGAACTCTTACTTGTCACAGTTGTCTTGATAATTATCACGTTAATTAAAATTATTTTGCATATTGTCTTGAGATTTCAATTTTAAAAGAAACGATTCGGGAAATATTTTTTTTTATAGAAGAATATTAGATATTTTTTATAAATACTATTTTAAGCTTTTGCTTTATAATTTAGAGGAAAATCGGAATTTTGCATATAAACTACGGGAAATGAGACAACTGGATCAGTTTTTCCAATTGGAAAATATCCATTGACGAGATTTTCTCGCATTTCCCATTGTCTTCTCGTTCTTTCAATCTTTTGTCTTCGAATCGCGCGACCCAACATGCAAGCGAACATTATACCAGCCAACTGAAAATATAGAATTATTTATTAGTTTTGTTTTTACGAAAATAACATTTTTTTTTCTTAATTAGGCTAAAAACGAAATTAATCAAGTTTTCAAAAATAAAATAAAAGTTCACCTGAATTAGAGCAATTAGTGTTGCTCCAGCTCCTAAGAAAAATGCGCTACGCTGAACAATAATTGAAAGACGACTAATACAACCACTTTGATAGACCATTCCTTCAATTAAACAAGAATCAGGAACTCTCATTACATTTGTACTATTATGCAAAATATCTCTCCAGTCATAACTTCCATCATATCCACAGCATCCTAACTGAAATTTTTTTTATCGATATTTCACTAAAGCATTGGAAACGAATTTTAAGTTAAAAAAAAATAATTCTATTTAATTAATAATTACTCTTGACTGCAAAAAATCTAAAGAAGCTTTTGCTTCATTACTGCTTTCGTACTCTTGCATTGTAGAATTTATTCGCTCAGCTAAAAGATCCTTAATTCCATCTTGAAGTGCATAAGCTGCAATTGCTGCACCAAGTTCCATAACTAATACCAACGATAGAGAAACTGCAAACTGTTGTTAAAAAATTAAAATTGCAGTAATTTTTTAGGAAGAAAAAAATTACTTATAATGAATTTAAACTCACCACTAAAACCATGCAAGTACTTTCTTTGATTGCTCCGCAGCATCCGAAAAATGCAATTATAAATACAAATGCTCCAACGACTATTAATAAAGTCGCTGGTGAAAAGTAACTTGCGTCTAGGAATCGAGAAAAATCGTCATACACAGCATAAATTGTTGTTCCTACTGAAACTATCATTGCACCAGTCAACTGAAAAAATATGATTGTTCATTTAATTTTTTTTAATTTTAATTAATTTATAAAGTTTTAAAGTTTAATGAAATAATAAATTACTTTTATTTAAAAAAATAGAATACAAATTATATTATTATAATCATCATAATAGCAATAAATTAAAAAATACATCAGCTTCCTACTTTATATTTTGGAAAATAATTTTGTTAATTCAAGTCGCTCTCTTACTCATAAATGTAATCTTATCATGCGGGTGATAAATAAGTGATTAAGCCATTGTCATTTAAGACCACGTGATCATATTTGACACTTGAATAATTATTTTCCTAAAAGCTTTGATACGTAATTTATTAAAAATTTCTTAATCTGTGATTAATAATTATTCATAAAGAAGCATTTTTGATTAAAAAAAAAAAAAAAATACTTAAAAAATAAAAAGTTAACAAAAAAATTTGGAGTAAATTTTTATCACTTCAAATTTTATTAGCTTAAGTACATTGAGAATACGTTTTTAAATGAAAATCAACATTAACTTTTTATTGAAAAAAAACTGCATTAGGAATAGAAAAAAAAAAAGAAAAAATGGCTCATTTTCCATTTTTTCCTATTACTGTCATTATTGCCGACAGCGATGGATAACGTCACGATCGAATATAAACTTTAATTACACTATTGTACAATTTCTAACAATTTATATAGATTTATTTTTTTAATTTACTATTTTTTTTTTACAATTTCTCTGTTAATATAAAAATTATTATATATTTAACAGAATGTTCTATACAAAATGATGCAATGAAACATATCAATTGTATAAAAAATGTCGACAAATTTTCTAAAAAATCTTTTGAAAAACTATTTTGAAATATTCTTTTAACATATTGTACATTAATTTATCACATTGTTTGCATTAAAAATTAATTAATTAAAATATGTAATTTTAAAAAATTATTGTAATATTAAGCATGTTTCTGAAAAGAAATTTTTTTCTAGGATCTGATTATTGGAAATTGGAGCAGATGACTGACAATGATAACAATGAAAAATCTACGCACTAAAAAAAAAAAAAATGATGCTGTTAAATTACAGACCACAAAAAGTGCGTTAACGGCACAGAGGAGATACTTGATGAGGCGAAGGCCCAGGTCGAGATGTGTGACCGCCATCATCCTCTAGGAAAAGTATTGGTTTAGCACCAGATGTAAGTTAAAAGAAATTTAAAGTCTCTCAATACTTTGCACGATTATAATGAAAATTAATGGTGAGCAACGTTACGCCAACCGTCTATCCCTCCTCCGGCGGCAACTTTTTTTTTTATCGTCAGGTGTTATCTACCGATAATAATGAAGAAACGAAAAAGCAGCACGATTTCTTGCAGGTATAATTCTGAAAAAAGAACATTGATGATAATAGAAAATGATGACGCGAACTTTACATCAATATTCCCCTTCTTTTCGTTGATGAGCTAAGTCAACCAAAGGAGGTTTCCAATGCGCATGAGTTATACGAAAAGTGCAGATAAATACAAAGATATAGAAAAAAAATTTCACTCACATTATGACAAATTGTAATTTCATTTTCAATTGAAAAGAGTTTTTAATAATGTTTCAAAATCGTCTTAATTTCTTTTAATTTTAAAGAAAGTAGGACATTTATTTTCTTATAATTAAAGAGAGCTTAAAAAAATTTTGAAACATTTATTTTAGAGGGATTTTTTAAAATAAAAATTATAAATACAATTGATTTAGAATAATTAATTGAATGTAATTTTTAAAAGTTTCGAGAATTAAAACAATTAAATTCTCCATAAAATACAACTAAATAAATTTTTATTTATTTGTAAAAAAAAGTTTATACATACATTCTAGTTTATTTATAGAAATAGATACAAATTTATTTAATTTGTTAATAGAATTTTCTAAATATGTGAGTGATTTAATGCAGCATAAAATAAATTATTTAAATTACAGTTGACAATAAAGAATTAGCTGAATTAATGAATTCATTGTTAAATTAAGGCATTTATTTAAAAATATTTGATACAATACAATAAATATTAAAAGAGAATTATTATTTCATTTGCAAATTTTTATTGTGAAATGAACCTACTAGTCGAAAATAATGAGAAATAATATGTCAAAATTGATAAAAATAATGACTTATTAAGAAATTGTCTTAATTCAACAAAGTTTTAATGATAGGTATTCTTTGATCTTAAATTAATATTTTTGGGGAGTTGTTGATGTTTTATGTTGGAAGAGCTTTTGTTTTAGTAGCGTGAAACAAAAAAAAATGTCTTATATCACGACAACGAACATTATATGGCTTCTGACTGAATAAAGCTGATCACTGATGTTGAAAGTCTTAATTTATGGAAGAGAATTGGTGTGGTATATGCAATATTGTTCTTCTTTATTCTACTACACAGTTTCATAACTACTTCTAATTGACTTTGCAAGGATTATAGAAAACCAAATTCCCAGTATCTGCAATTAATTTTATATTCCATCAATAGATAATAGAATAAATATTATCAAAATTAATTTAAAAGTATAAAAGAAATCGAACCTGTACAAATGCAATTCCAATTCCAACACCACCAAGTCGAACGGCATGCTCCTTTACAAAATATCCAAATTTCGTAAGACATCCGGTTTCCTTGACTTTTATATTATTTGTAATAGTATTTGTAGCAAAACAACTCATATTTCCTATAACTCCTGCTTCATAAGTACAACATGTTCTTGGTAGAGACTCATTTCTCCAAATTTTACCCCAATCTTTATAGCTTTCCATTCCACAACAATTAAACTGTAAAAGAAAATAAATTTTAAAGATCAATAATACATAATAGATAAATTAAACAATTTACATTTGTTTGAAGATTGTCCCAAACGATTGACATCTCTTTGTTCTTTCCATAAGCTTTCATTGTGTTGTTCATTTTCCCTTCAATCACTTCAATGGCTTGGTTTTTCAAAACGTAGCCAGAAATTCCAGCTGACAATTCCATTAAAAAGATTATTATCATCAATGTTGTAAACTGAAAAAATAGGAATTAAATTAAATAGTAATTGCTGACTGAAAAAAAGTTGTTTGTTTCAAGCAAAAAAAAGTCTATTATGAAATAAATATTTGTTTAAATAAAAATTAGTCATTACCGTGACAACCATGCAGTAATTTTCTCGAACAGCTCCACAACAGCCAAAAAATGCTATAAAGAATATAATTGAACCCGTTGTAACTAAAAGTGTTGGCACAGAGAGGAATTTATTGTCCAGGAAATGTTCATAATTATTGTACACTCGAAGAATAACAGATCCTATCGTTACTAAAATTATTCCCGTGATCTGTAAAAAAAATGGTTACCTATGTTAAAAAAATAATTAGTATTATCATTTATTAAATATAACCAATTTAACATTCTTTTTTTTTTGCTGTTTGAATTATTCTCAAAGTCAAAAATACTTTTCTGTAAAACATGTTTTCAAAAAAGCAATTAATAACCCATTTAATTAGTTATCATCATAAAGGTTTCTTTTTTTTACATCTTTTTCTTTCTGTTCTGAATAAACTTTAAATCATTTTTTCTGAAACGGTGTCACCAACTGGGCTTCTTCACCCTCATTTCTTTTTCCCAATAAAAGAAAACAAGTTGTTTTAAAAATATTATGTCAGGGTTGTTAACGACAAATTATTGAAAAATTGCTTTTCAACTTTTTTATGTTTTATAAATGTATAAATTATATAAATCTATATAATATAACTCAACGTTAATTATTATTATTATATTATTTAATATAGAATATTTTTAAATCTTTAATTTCAAGAATAATTTAAATTGGATTTTTTTCTTTACTTTATATGTCTATTTCAGATAAGTTTCGATTTCTATTATAATCGATAATTTATTATCTGATAATTAGTTTTTGGTGATTGATTAAACTATTATCAGCACAAAAACTGTGGTACTTTATTTAAAATTAAAAATCACAAAAAAAACTTGAGAAACTCCTCAGATTTAAATTCTTCCATTTATAACAAACATAATATTTTAAAATAATAATAATTCAAAATATTATATTTACTTGTAAATAATATTTAGTGAATTAAAAAATAATTAAAAACATAATTTACAATTTATCACGTTCTATTTGTAAATTTCAAAAATCTTTTAAGGCTGCGGTGTCCGAGCGGTTAAGGAGATGGACTTGAAATCCATTGGGTTCTACCCGCACAGGTTCGAATCCTGTCCGCAGCGAATTTTTTTTTTTACATTTCTTTTTAAAATAACTTGATTTTTAACTGAAATATTCAATTTTACACTTTATGTCAATGAATTTATGTTTTATATTATTCTTATTATTAATTAAATTAGATAGTTATAAATTTCTTGTTAATATTTTTTCTCAATTCAAATATTTTATTTATTAATTCAACTTGAAAATAGAATAATTTAGAGATTTATGTTTTCCTGTTTTATGAAACTTGTGAATAGTGCTATTATTTATAAATAAATAAATAGGTATATTTATATATTAAAGTCCAAGAAACATGACTCGCGTTTTGTGATAAGAAAATGTTTTAACTTTCGATATTATAAAAATTCAAGTTCTCTGTAGATATTAAAATTAATAATTTAATTATTAAAACCGATATCCCTAATTTATTGTGCGATAGTCAATTTATTTATTCCAAAAAAATATAAAAAACTTGTATTGCACCTGTAATCTATTTTTAGTCAAGAAACATATTTTATATTAGTCTGGGGGACCTTTCGAAAAATGCAAAAAAGCAAATAAGAAACAATCTATATAATTCTAGATGGTATATTTTATATATATATATATGCATTTAATATCACACGATAAGCTCGTGACTCACGCTTTTCTATATAATTATATATATATATATACATATTCATTTGTTTAAGATGATGAAATTTCTGAAATTCTACCCAACAATTCAAAAATTTATTGCAAAAGAATCTTTAAAATATTTTTATATATCTAGTTTTTTCATTTAAAAATTGATTAATATATATTATTATTGATCAATGAAAGTGAAGTGAACTTTGATGGTTAAACTTTTATATTATTTTTTTCAACTCATATATTCGTTATCTAATCAATTTAATTAATTTTATAATGAAAAGTCCTTGTACGTTTTTTTATATATAAAATTAATTAAAAGCAAATATTAATCAATTTAATGTTTTCTTTTTTTTTTTTTTGAGTGAAAATGGAAGCTTGCTGTTTATTCCTTTTCCATATGCTGGAATGTTACAAAATATCTTAGCGAATTTTATCAAGTGAAATTAAATTCTTAGACGGAATAATTATACATAATGATAAATAATTTATAAAACTCACCACAAAGATTAGATTGAAGGCAAACATGAGGTATTTGATACATTGTGAGGTTAATGGAAGCTTCATTCTGGATACCATGATTGCCGTGTGTCTGGAAGTACGAAAATTTTTTTTTTTCAATATCAGGTGAAAACTTAGTGATAATGTTGTAAACGAAAGGCCGGCAGCATATGGCCCACTGTCACTCGACTTGTTACGTTTACACGTTTTCAATTAAATGTTGATTTCGCAGCTGCGCCGCGCGACTAAAGGAGACTATATTTTTTCTTATATATTTTACACATTCATATTATCTTTTGCTTTTAATCTATATATAGTTAGTACCAAACCAAAACAGATTATTTTCAGTGTTGGGTAGTTTTATATCAATGTTATTGAAAATGATTCATGTGAAAATTGAAAAAAAAAATTGTGATATAAATATATTTTTTTTATTATCTTTGTTTGAATCGTTTATAGTGCGCACGTGTGAAAAATCAAATTTATGGCGCGAATTCGGAAGAAGAGGAAATGTGAAAAGACAATATAATTTGCCGAAAATGAAAAAACTTAATTTTGAAAAACCACCCTTTAATTTAATTCAAATAATTGTCAAAAAAAAACTATGTATTATTTAAATTAAATAACTTTTCTTGACTTAAATTCTCAATTTTTTAAAATTTACCAAAGTAGCTTATTTAAAAAATATTTTACACTATGAAAAAGTATTTCATTAATTAATTAATAATTTACTTTTTTGTTGTAATATTTGTTATTATGTATTTTAGTTTTCATTTGTTATTTTAACAATGATCTCGAATGGATAAAAAAATCGCGTTGATTATTTAGCGGAGAAAATAATAATAATCTCAGCTCGAATAATTGAAAATGAAAAAGGACTTTTAAGTATATGTAAAAGTGGCTTTGAAGCGTTAAAACATTTTATGTCAATACTGTACAAGCTGGAATTGATATCGCGTGACAGACTTTTACCAAACAATCGTTGGCGCCTTCCCGTACGGAATTATCGAATAACATGCATACATGTATGTATGTACGTCTAGAACGTGGGTTGCGATCGTTCAAATCTATTTCTCCACTTTTCAAGCGGTTTGCTGACCTTCCTTAACATTTTTCACTAAACGCTCAACATTAAATATAAATTGCATTATTTATAAATAAAATATTTTAATTTTTTTAAGTTAGGTTTATTAATTTTAGTTAAGTATTTTTCCATTTTTTAGTACATTTTATTCATTTTTGTTAATTATTTTTGTATCTTTCAATTATTACTATTATATATTATTTTTATCATTTTAGTGAATTAAATTTTTTAATTAAGTTTCAAAAAAATCATATTTAAAATGCAATATGTTCACTTTCAGTAATAATAAATATTATATTTAATCATTGAAAGAGAATTTCTTATCAAAATACGTGGTATTTTAAATTATTCACATTTGATTTTTAAATATGGCGTTTCAAATATTTACCCGCCATTTTTTAAATAATTTCAAAATGGCCACCTGTCAATATCTCATTTTGCGCGCGTTTCCTGCATGTTAAACTAACTTGAGCAATCTATTGAAAATCAGATATTTTACACGCGTTTTAAAGAAATATGAATTTTTATTTAATCTCAAGAGTCAAAAGATTTGTAAATTGTAAAAACCCTCTTGTTTTATTAAGAAGGGGTGCGGCCGCGAGAAACATACATGTTTGAATCAGTTCGAATAAGCCGAGTCGCGGTGTTCGGTCGCGCCCTCGTGCCGAACTCTTCCGAGTCTTTTTGCGAAGGTAAACTAGTGTGCTATATAGCTTCAAATCGTAATCGACTTGTCTCCGTGGAGCGCCGCAGGACAAAACAAAACTGAGGAATTACGTATCCGTGATTCAGGTGTGTGACCGAAACTCGCGTTGTCAGTTTTAATTTATAATATATTCAAGACTTTTGAGCATCTGAAAATCAGAAAAATGGTTTCCGGGGGTATGGCGTGTGTCAAGTACCTTTTATTCGTTTTCAACCTGATATTTGCGGTGAGTATATACCTACTTGCTATATTAAACAAGGATCGAAATTGCATTTTATCCGACGAAAAAATTGTTGTTTCACTGCCTCTCCAGTTCAAAGCCGGCATTGTTAATTAGAAGCGTGACAAAAACTTTGTGAAAAAGTTTAATGTTTTTTGAGTTAATAATTATCACAGAAATTCGTTTTCTACGATATAAAATTTTTCGCGGAATCCAGGAATGCTTTGTTCCTGTCGGCTCCATTGAGGTTTTATTGAGGTCCACGACTTCACGGCGCCTTTGTGTATACAACTTGCATTTCGTGGAAAACTCGTGGTGTTTTGGTCTGATTTTATCGATTTTCATTTGTGTAATTGCTATCACAACGAGTGTCGCTTGTTTTTTCCATTAACGTTCATTCTTTTTCTTTTTTTTTCACAAAGTGATTGTTTGCATAGCTTCCAAAATCGATTTTTGTTACGCCATCTCTACATTGTTTTTGAAAAATATAACCTAGTTTCACACATATCAAAATGTTATTTTGAATTTTCTATAATTTTTTTATTCCATAAATATATTGTTATTATTTTTAAAATATTTAATCAAATTTTAATCAAGTAATAATTGTTGCGTTCGTTTTTTTTATTATAAAATTTTCATTATCCATTGTTTTTATTTAAAAAAATTTTTATCATTAGTCGAGAGTTATAAACTAAAATAATTATTCCTATTTGCCGTAATTTTTATCTTGATATTGATTTTAAAAGTGAATTTTATTTTTTATTTGAATGGTTAATGTGAAAGTTAATATATAAAAGTTTTTGTTAAAAAAAACGCTAACAATCTAAAATGTTGCGGACAATGCAATTCTAAAACATAATATAATTAAGTATTAAATTCAGTGCCCGCAAAATCATTTGAATTTTTAACAAATATGTATATATTTATTCAATAGAAACTTAAAAATCAAATTTCGATAATTAATTTTTTTTAAATTCCCCATTACAATATTATTCACAAATTTATATGTTTATTTAATATATATTTTTTAGCGAGTTACAGAAATTTGAAGAAAGCTTTTGTTCATTTTGTCTGATTAAATTAGAAGATAAAAGTCTGACCCAGTTTCATTAATTGGAACGATGATGTTTAACTGTACTTTCGTGAAGTCATTAAATTTAAACTGTCCTAAATTCATATTTTTCGTAACTTGACAAAATTTTTTTCAATTTCATTTTAATCGATCTATTATATAATTTAAATTTGCCGACTCACATATATCTGATATAAATCTTTTGTTTCAATTACTATTCTGTAATGAGAACATGAAATAAGTTTTTGTTTTTTCCTTTTACCTTCAAGACTTTTCCAATGAGTAATTATTTTCGAGAATGAAATGAATCGGAAACGGTTAAATGCCAATAAGAGATTATTTCACTAAACGTTTTGCAAGACAAATCTTCAGTTATATCTTTTGAGAAATTTGCTTGTGACATATAAATCATTATTTTTATAAGTTTTAAACTTATTTATTTAATTTTGCTTAAATTCATTGCTTGAAAATGCGCAGGAAATATTTTTCATTGTCTCTGAAAAAAATTCTATAGTGAAGCGAAAATCAGGAAATGGAAGTTAATTCCTGTGAGATTATTCTTTGAAAATATATTTTGGATAAAATTGAAAATATTAACTATATTAGGTATATATAGCGTAATTTAAAACAATAATTGTTATATGAAACTGTAGAAATAATTTCATTATTTTTAAGTTTTAGAAAATAATAATTGAAATAGTTGGTACCTAGTTTTAATTATTTTTATTAAAATACCCAAAACAAAATAGATTTTTACTCTAAAAGTTAATGGGCGTTTCTGCAGAAAAAAGTTTGAAAACTTAGCTCGAACATTGATCCTGTTTTTTGCGTGAAGAAGTGAACTGTGTTTTATTATTGCATGCTGACTTACTGTTACTTTAAATTGTCCAAGATTTTTTATTACTTTTTTACCCCTATTGAGTCCGAGATTACTAAAGACGATTTTTTATTACATCTTGACATATATATATATATATATAATCTATTTTGATAAAAAATTGTTGAGATAACTTCCGCCTATTGAATGAATTTTAAATCCTACCTACACAATGAAAAGTATAGTTTAATGAAAGCTTTTGACGAATAAAGACAGATGATTGGCACTTACAATCGTTGTCCCTTTAGCGCAGGAGCGCAATGAACTTTCTGATTTGCATACGTAGGTGTCTATATGTGTTGATGAAATTTTTCAAATAAAGGATTTTTCTCCCTTCATGGTAGTAAAATATATATATATATATTTTTTAAATTATCAACATAATTTGTATTTCAAATTGAAATTAGCAATTTGTCACAAAGTGACTTAGTTATCATAGTTATATACCACTGTTTGAAACTATCATTAATTAAAAATAATTTTACAGCTATAATATATAATTATTTAATCCAAACTGTACAATTATTATAAAAAATTATATTGCTTTTGGAAATTATGCTTATAATTACAATTAATATTTAATGTAAAAAAATGTTTTATTCTAAAGTAAAATTTTTGTTATATTTTATTGTACATACGATTATTACATGTATGTAATATTTTTCATATGGTTAAATAGTTGAGTTTGATCGATATATGTATGCTGTATACTCATTTTGAGAGCTTGTAATTTGAGCAACAGGATATTGTTTTTTTTTTTTTAATTTTATACTCTCACAAATATACCTATACAATATGCAAGGGATATGATATGATATCGATAGATGGTGATATTGGTGATTCTGTCTTCAATGAGGCCACATAAAGCCAGTCCACCTTAGAGTCATTTATGTGCAGCGTTCGATTTGCTTCATGCCTTATGCATTTTTTTTGCAACAGGCCTTGTAAGTCGTTCATAAGTGTCACACTGCATGTCAATGATCTAATTTTATTCTGATACTAGCCACTTGATATATTAAAAGAACTTATTAAAAACTAAAGTTTCTTTTAACATTATTATTTATTATGAAATTTTACTTTATTTCCTTTTTTTACTTTTCAACTTGAAATTGTTTTTTATACCCAGAAAATTTGTTTATTTTTTCAATTAATTAAAAATGTTACATTTTATTTTATTATTTTTTTAGCGGAAAACTTGTGCGGTGAACCACTTGAAATTCGAATATTCAGACCGATATCGCACGTAATTAAATCAGTAGCAATGCAATAATTATTGAATTTATTTTCTGAAACTCGAATTACATTTTTTTTAATTCAGGGGAGAATAAATTAATTAATATACAAAATGTTACTATTTTTTTAAAATTTATAATTTTATTGAATATTGAAAAAATGTTATCATTATTATTTTGAAAAAATATTTAGTCGACAACGGAATTTGACAAATTCTATACGTAGAAGTCATTATGAGTTCAATGTAGCCAGGTGTGGCTTAAAGGGGAAACACTCCCTTCACCCTTTCACCTTTGTAAGAACGTGCCTTGAAAATAAGACTAGCATTGTATATTAAAATCATTTATGCACTTAACTTTATACAATTTTCAAATTTATTTTGCTTTTTTCTTTATTCTTTTTGTTTAATTTTCTACTTTTTATATAATGTCGATAATCAATTAAGTAAAGCAAATTATGACAAAATAAATTTGTAATTTGTTTTCATTTATAATTAATTAATTAATTAATCTAATTTTTTAATCTTGTATTTTTTTTAGATAACTGGTATCGTACTCATTTCATTTGGAGCTGTCATTTTGGTAGTTTACAATGAATACAGCAATTTTGTCGATAGCTGGTTATTTGCTGCACCAGTTTTAATGATTATTGTCGGCGTGATAGTCTTCCTTGTATCGTTCTTCGGATGCTGTGGAGCAGTGAAAGAAAATCACTGCATGATCATTACGGTTCGTCTTTTCTTTCAAATCTAAAAGAGAACAAGATAATTTTGATTTGAAAAAACTTTTAATGATTTTTCAGAAAAATATCTACTATAATTTTATTTTTGAAAAATAATAACTTATTTTATTCCAATTAATAGAATTTACTAAAAAAAAGCTTTTGTTCTTTTTAATACAGTTCTCGGTTTTACTGCTGTTGATATTTGCCCTGGAATTGGGTGCCGGAATCTCTGGATACATAATGCGTGGAGAAGTGGGCACCATGCTGGAAAATCACATGAATAGAACAATGCCACAATATTCTCAAAGTGACATTGGAAAGTCGTGGGATATTATGCAACATGATGTAAGTTTTGCGTTTGTTTATTTTCAAAATTTAATATTATAATTTAATTATTTTTGTTTGAAAGAAATTTTTTTTTTTAATTCTTATGTAAAAAAGTATATAATTACAAATTTTTTTTCTCATCGTATCGGAAGAATCATTCAAATATTTATTTATGTATGGATATAAATATATGAGTATAATAAATAACTAATTGTACTTATGAAAAACAACTTTCCGTTAAAGAGGACCTGTGATATTAATCAATATCTTTACCTCACCTGAGCTATACACAAGACAAACTCCACTTCCTGTAGCCATCTGAACGTGCATTGAATATAGAATTTCTAAGAACTTGGTCTTGGTGTTATGAAAATGAAGGTTTTATGATCGATTTCCATTTTATTTTAATATTTTCTTTATACTTATATTATTTCTTGAGTCTTGACATATTTACATACTGACTTATTTTATTCAAATTTTTTATAACGCGCGCGTCTTAAACATTATACATTAATTTTTCTCTTTGTAATTAAATTCTTTTTTTGGTCCCATATGAAATTTCACAATTTTTTGCCTAGTTTTGAGGGATTAAAAATTTGAATTTTTCTCTTCTTTTTTCTTGTGTATTATGTAAAATGAAAGTATAGAGTAATAATAAATCGTAAACAATATATTTTTTAATTATAATAAGATGTAGAAAATGAGTTCATTTGCTATATAAAGAGTATCTTAATATAAGAATTGAAAATGAATTACAAAAAGAAGAATAGTCTAGACTGTGAAATTATTCAAAGTGGATTCATGGAGATGAAACAGATAAACATGAAACGCATACCGTGCACAGGTCTAGTGTAATTACAAAAGGATTGTATGTATATTTCTCCTGAAAATGACCATATGCGTTCCGCATGTTTTTCAGTTGTCAGTTTTCTATTTTAATGTCGCGGATCGCAGCACTAGAAAATCTCTAAATATACTTCAATTTTTTTCTATTTGAAAATTTAATTTTTCATAAACAAAAATTGTGTAGAATGTTTTTCATAAATACTGTTTTTATGTAATATATGTTTTTTTTTTTTATTAAATAATTGAGTTTAATCTCCAATTGATTTTATTTTATGTATTTGACTAAATTCTTATAATAGATGTAAATTTGAATATTATCGTATTTTAGCTCGACTGCTGTGGCATGAATGGCCCTTCCGATTGGTCCAAGGCCGGATTCAAAGACAATACTTTGCCGATAACTTGTTGTCAAAATGTTCCTTTGAAGACAGACACTACTCATCAAAGTACATGCGACATGAATTCCATAACTGTTCGTGAGAAAGGATGTTTCAATAAATTTCGATCATTCATCGAAGACAGAGCTGTTGTCTTAGGAGGTGTTGGCATAGGAATCGCTTTGGTTCAGGTATTTTAGACGTTGCAAAACAAGATTAAATTTTCTCTTGAGAATAATTATAAATTTTCTTTTTTCATCACACAGGTTTTCATAAAATTTACGTAATTAATTGCGATTTTTAAATTATGTTATCATTTTTCGATAAATATTTATCTCGTAAATTCATAATTAAAAAATTATAATTAATTACGTAAATTATGCATAGTAAAATAATTAAAGGATTAAGATAAAAACAAAAATAGTCGATAAATAAATAAAATTGAGAAAATAATTGAAAATTAGAATAATAAGAACAAAATTTTTAATAATATTTCAGCTGATTGGAGTAACCTTTGCGTGCTGTTTGGCTCGTTCGATTCGTCGTGAATACGAGACAGTGTAAGATGATAAAAACACTTTTCATTGCAATACGCCTCACGTGCACTTTTCTTATATATATTTATATATATATAAATCAATCTTACCGATGTCTATTCCACTACTGTATATGTTGCGTTACTGTTTAACTCGAACCGATGCACAATCACAAAATATTTTCTTTTCTTTTGCTCATTCTGCCAATAGCTTATCAAACATGTAAATTTATTTTTTCCTTTAAAAAAAAACAATACAAAAATTTGGCAGAAATACTGGCTTGGGTTTATCGAATTAATTACTAAAGGGCTATATTTATTCGCAACGAAGCATGTAAAGAGGTTTTTTTTTCATTTCGGCAACTTTAACAGAAAATTAATTCGTCGATTTAGAAAAAAGCCTTTCATCTTAAGTGTTAATGTTATTCCCTGACAATTTGTTGTCAAACTGATAATAAACAAATAAGTGTCAGTCGCTTATAATAGTTGATTGTTGCCGCTTATTCGTGTCGCTATTATCGCCTACATTGAGAAATTTTTTCAAAACTTTATAGTATTACGACCTCTTTTGCAATCCCTCTTTCTACATATATGTATATCGTAGTCGCCATAGTAGCTTTTTGTCACCTGAAACTCTTTCAAAACGAAAGTAATAGACTCTATAAGCATATTGTTGATATTTCATTTGTATTGTATATGCATTTCACTCATTATTTTATTTTTATAATCGGTTTATATTTTCTTTATGATTAGCTAGGTCTCACATTTTATTTAATAATTTTCAATTTTTATTGAATAATTAAATATTTTTATAATTCAATTAAATTGAAATTATTCATTTTAATTTTATTAAGTTTATTTAAGTATTTAAAAAAATTTAATTATCTGCAAGTTTTCCTTTTTCTTAAAGAATTTTTTATCCAGTTATTAAGTTTTCATGTTTTTAAGAATTTTTATTATTATTATTACAGAATATTTAAAAACTTGAAATATTATGAGAATTATAAACTTATTGAAAAATTATTATTTGAAAAATTTTCAAGTATTTATGACATTAAAAAATTAAAAAAATTAATTTGTTTATATTTCGCGGATATTTAGAGATTTTTCAGTAATTTTATATTTCTCCTGATTATTTGTAAATTTCATTATTAATTAAGTGGATTAATCCAAATTATTGGAAATTAATTTCACGATGGAAGCCTTTTTGGTGGAATTTTCTTTAATTTTGTATAATTCTGTAAGTTTATGTTTTATACTGATAAAACGAATAATAATGTAGAAATGTAAACTGATCGCCGCATAAGCATGTACGAGGGGGTTTTTTCTACAAAATAACAGTTGTTTTGCACTCCAAGAAATAAAAGCGTATCCCGCGCCATTCCACAGCTTGCACCGCTATAGAAACAAAAAGCTACGCACAATTTGTATTTGATTTTTTTAAATATCAACAAGATTAGGATTTATTTATCTCATACATTTTTTTATTACAATGATACGCTTTTGTCTCTTTGTTAGGCAATATGCTGCTATAACTCTTAAATAACGATTTCGATAGTTGAAACACGTAACTAATCATTCGTATATTTATATATATATATATATAAAATGGTCATGATAAAAAGAGGCTGTGATCGAGAGTCCTGTGTCCTTAAAGCATGCAGATCCAACGCTTAAAGATTGTAAATTGTTCAGAAATTCAGAAAAGTTGATAATTTATTTTTGCTAATTATCAATTTTATGTTGATTATTAAATTTTTTATTTCTTTTCTTCTTTTTTAATTTTTTATATTCTCTTTAATTTGAAGAATAAATTGAAGACAAAAAAACAAAACTAGAACTGAATTAACAATATTTATAAATTATGTAGATGAAGTTTGAAAAAGTTGAATGGGTAACTTTTCTGAAAATTAACATTTTGCAATCGTCAGTGAAATTCCATAGCAAAACTAACGTCCAGAACCGTTCCTAAATAATTTTCTTTGATTCTCGTCACTGTTCTTGTAATTTAAGAAATAAACGTTGGTCTATAGTTTAGTTTAAAAAAATTATATTATATGAAAAAGTATTCTGTTGTTTTCTACATTTGTAAAGTCTACGTAGTGTTATATTCATAGAGTCAAAGTCTAAAAGAGCACGAGTGTTATTTTCTTTGATTTTAATCAGCGATAGTATTTTTTTTCATTTCTTCTTTAAATGTTTTAGAGGATTTTTTTCTTCTTAAATTTGACTGCCTTTGCAATTTGGTGGCAGATCAGAAATTTTTTATACTCTGTTATTCCAAGAGTTTTTAAATATTTTGAGTCAAATATTACAAAAGATTGTTTATTTAAGTGCAGATAAGGACCTCTTTTTTTTGCCTATTGTACATTTGTTTGCTTCTCAGTATGTGCACCTACGTTTGCATTCTCTCGTCCAATATTTTTCAAATATTCATGCTTGGTGACATAACATTTTTACTTACAGCGAAACTACAGCACACTGATCAGCCACCACTTAGGAGGCATTATTAACATAATATTGTCCATCATACATTTAGATATTCATCGCGTTTCTAGATTTTTCAACGTGCTTACGAATTTTATTGACAAAAGAGGAATTATGCTCAAATTTCACAGATATTATTTGGTAATTCCAAGTTTTTCAATAATTACATTTTCGATGGGAATATAAAATTTAAGAATATTGTATAAGTTAAAAATAATGCAAAAATAAAAAAACTCAAAATTACGTTAATATTGTAAGATCGAGGAGATGAAGAATTCAATTACTAAAGTCAATCATTAAATTAAGGATATTCGACTATTATTTCTGACTAAAAAACTGTTTCTAAATGCAGGAAAATAATTTTAAAAAAATTTTGTTTAAGATGTTAAAACGTTATTTAAACAAAACTTAATTTCAATCACAATTTTTATAACAAACAATAATTGTAACAAATAATATTACTTACAATTAGTAATCTATTTTTGATTTAATGGAATTTTTTTAAACTAATTTTTCTTGCTTTTTTAAACTGCGTTTGTTCCAGATTGTGTTAAATATGTCTGATGTCCTTTAAGCAAAACTGCCAAGTTCTGACAAAAAGCAAAGACTGAAAATTTATACTATTTCATTATCTTCGAAATTATTCTTACTAAAGATACAAATTTACAAATTTTTGTACTTTTTCGTCATTTTGTTTAATTTACAATAATTTCAAAAAAAAATTGAATAGAAAATGAATGATTTCTCTTCGCTACTTGAAATTAGTATTTAAAAATAGTGAAATTACTATACAATTTCGAAAAATGTCATTTGAATTAGTTGCAAAATAAGTGATTTGATCATCGTTCCTCTTTGTTCGATCCTCATTTGGTAAATTAAAACAATAAGCTGTTCTTTTATTTATTTATTTTATTTTATTTTTTTTATTTAATTTTCCTTCAAGTAGAAAATGTATATTAATAAAAAATGTATGCTGACTATAGTCGCAGCAAACAAGCTTGAGTTTCTTAAAATAACTGCGCCTGATCGACGGAGTATAAAATGGCTTGTTGCTTCTCTAACTCTAATGTTCTAGTTTTTAATGATAACAAAACAAAAAAATCCTAGCAACCCATAAAATGCCTTCTTACTGGCAGAATTCACTTTTCTGACAATTTATATGCAGTGTCGTAGTCAAAGTATGTGTGTATAAACAGATTTTGTGAGATTTCTTATATTTCATGTAAAACGCATCTGTATTTCATTCACAATCGACATTGCGACTCCAATATCCTTTTTTTCTCTATATACATATATTGATTTTTTAGAAAATCGATAAAATAATCTTCGAAACGAGTTATTGAATCTATAATATAAAAGTACAAAGGTTTATCCATTTATTTTTTTGTGAATTTGTCCTTTTTTTCTGATCCTAAATTAGTAAAAGAAAAATCGCTAATTGTTAATTTGAAGGATTATTGAAAGAAAAAGACATTTTCGACAAATTCATATTTCATAGAAAAAAATCTTTTCTCTGTTAAAATATTCTTGAAAAATCGGAATAATTTTTCGCTGAATGTAAATAGCAAGTAGAAAAGACTTATTATTTTTTTGTAATTGGAGTCTCGACTTAGAAAATGTATTCTTTTCTTTAGATATTTAAGGATTTAAGTAAAAAGTCTACTAGACTTTCTATATACTTTTTTGATACTATCTTTTAAATTGAGAAATATATTTTCTTAAAAAAGTCCACAATTTCAATTTCTTGAGAAATCGAAAATTTATTTGTGAATTCGAAAGGGAGGGGACCAATAAATCGACATTCTCTAAAAGAAAAAAAAATGTTTATGTATATTTATTATTACTACTATTGATATTATTTTATTAGAGTATATAATTGATGCATAATTATAGTGAATAATTATAATATATATATATTTTAATAATTATTGTTTTGTGTCGAATATATGTATGTTCGCAATTTTTGTTAGTAGTTTAAAATTATGATACATATTTGCTTTCGTGTTTTTGTAATTTTTCACAAATATAATTGATATCAAAGAAACTAGATGTAGGAAAAATATAATATTCTATCAATCTGTGTTTTTTGTTGTTAAAAGTCAACGAACAAAGTTGTAAAGCATTAATAAGTTAAGTTCGATTATAACTTTAATGTATTAAAGTTCTATTTTCGAAAATGCTTTTTAAGGACATCAAAAATGCGATTTGAGTAAAATTTTCGGTCGTTTTAATACTATTAGTTTTTTTTAATTATTAATGATTTTTCAGAAAACCTGCCAAAATACCATAAAATATATAAATAATTAACCATGATTAGAATTTGAATTTATGTTTATTTCAAAAATTAGACTGATAATTTTTAACGAATTGTTTTACATGCCCTTAATGTTTTCTTCTTCAATTTTTACAATGTACTTGAAAAAAACACAAAATATTCTTCAACGTAAATAAATTTTAATATTAAATACGATTATTTAATAATAATTATCGAATGTAACTTTTACGAAATAAGTATTTAAGTGCTGTAACTTTTGAGACGCAATGTCGATTTGGGAATTTATGCGTGAAAGTTCAGTTTGTACGAAAATAATAAAATAGCTCGAGGACTTGCGTCAAGAGAAGATATTATTTTTAAATAATAATTTAAAAAATTCTGGTTAATGGTAGGCCTAAGTCTACAAAAAGTTCTTTAAACAATTTCAGACTTTTGTAGTCGTACCTATTATTTTAATTATTGCAAGACCTCGGGCAAAAAAACTGTCGATTATAAGGAAAAAAAACTGTTCAAGGGGTTTTTAAATAATAAAACCCAAAGCTAATAAATATTTGGAGTGTGCCTAACGCATAGTAAAGTATATAGATATAACGACATAGAATAGAAAGAAAAAACAAAATAAAATGTTCAACCAAGTACGATTCAAATGTCTCTTGAGCTATGAAAAAACTGCTTTATTCGAATTTGTATAGCACACGTCCAAAGTTAGCCCAATTTTTTTTTTTTTTTTTTTTTTTTTTTAATAATTATTGAGAATTTCTCTCATCGGCTCTCGTTAGACTTTTTCTGTTATATACTGGATACGTAGATATTACCAGGCCATTCAAAGACTGAAGAAGATCGTTGTAATCAGTATTAACAACCATTGGTATTTTAAATACGACGTATATTTTTAAATTTATACTAAATCTATTTTGGCTGCCTACATGGTTTTTTAGTAAAAAGAAAAAAAAAGTGAAAGAAAGAAAAACACACACTGTAAATGTGTAAAAGTTATGTATGAATCGAAATTGGTGAATCGATAAAACAAAAAGCATCTTGTCACATTGACACTACTTGCGTTTTGGCGTTTCGTGATCCAACAAACTATCATTGGCACATATTTGTCTAGCATTTATGATTATATTAATAAATTAATAAAAATATGTGAGATTTTCTTATTTAACTTTATTGTCATACTATTTACTTTTCAATATATTTTTTTTGTTATAAAATATTACATGAAAGGTTAAAGATTTATTTCTAAAGGGATTTCGAGAATTTGGTAATAGATGATAATTTTTTTTTATTTTGAAAATTATGCTAAAATTTTATTGACTAATTAATTAAGTCTCATGGAATTTTTGTTATATAAAACCCAATAGTTAAAATATTTTCAATTTTATTTAAATATTTTTAGTAAAAATAAAGTAATTAATTACTTGAATAAATTTTGTCACATATAGTGTAATGAATGAAAAAACTTCATAGAGTATATAACCTTTTATTTCACCTTCTTATGAATGCCACTAACTAGCAGACTAACATTCACTATTGTATAATTTAAAGTTAATGAATCTCTTCTTTAGATTCTTACACGTACAAAGCCTGGATCGAAAACTAATTTTGCAAATTATTTCATCTAGGCTTTAATTTATATATATAATTTTTGTTTAATTATCTTCTTCACAAGATCTTATCTCACCAACTTTTTAGAGATTAAAAAATTTCCCAGTCGTTTTTCTTAAAATCATTAATATTTTAGGAATATCCTCTTCCCGTGAACTAAACAAAAATCAACCATTGATCACGAATTCTTAATTATACTCTTTACAAATGACAACCTCATGTAATATCAATTTACCTCAAAATATGTACAAATCTGTACCTGAGTAGAAAAGTATCGTAGCTCCATGTTTTTTTTAATCAATTCGATTCATTATCGGAAGTAAAAATCCTAAATCACATCTCTGCAATATAGAACAATTATTCTTAGCACCCTAACTGTGTTTTTAGGATTTTCACATTTAATATATAGATAAAACGGTAGTTTCCTTCCCAGATATAGAGTCATTAATCCGAGTTCGACGCTTTTCCTCAATATATATTTTTTTATTTTCAAAAAAGAAATATAAATTTTCACGGGATTTCCCCTTTATTTCCTAAGCGATTTTTTTTTTTTTTTTGTTAATTCAAGACATTTTTTGTGTGTGTGAAATATTTTCATAAACGTGACAAAATCCCGTAATGTAAGTTTGAATTTCTTATCTTTAAATATACATATATAATTTCTAAATTCGTCGCTTCAATTGAAACGAAACATTATAATCTAAAAGACTCGATGAAAAGCCAGAATCGCTCTCAATCATTCACTGGACTGTCGATAATTTTTTTTCTCTTCTACTCCTCAAAACTTATCGACTACCTTTTGATATAGAAATTAAAAATTTTTATCCTATTACTCATTATTGTCACGACCCATCAAGACGTTTACGTGAATTGTAAATGAAAATAGAAAAATTATTTATAAATATAAATTTAATAAAATTTGTAAAACTTTATACAAATAGTTATAAATTGTAAATAGTTGTACTTAAATTGCTACAAAATTATGTGGACAACAAAATGCGTTATAAAAAATTATATTTTCGGATAACGAAAATATAAGAATATACATATAAAATAAATAAAATCTTACTAAATTAAAAATATATATCTGTTAAAAAAGATATAAAAAAAATTACTTCAATTTTGAATTTGGTCGAAAAGGGTTATTTAATTATTTAATTTTAAATAAACTCTAATTGTTCTTTATTAAAAAAACGTCTCAAATCGAAAATATCAGACAATAATGATCAATAGTCTAAAAAATGTATAATGGAACAATTACCGATTTATAGTAGTGAAATTCATCAATAGAGAAATAGTGGTAAAAATAATTTTTTTTTCATAATTACAAAAATGAGCGCTATTATTTTAATGTGTAGATTGTTAAAAACAAAAATCAGTCAAACTATAGAATAATTAATTCATTCATTTGAAAAAAAGAAGTATTGACGGAGGTACTCATTTATCAGTACAGATTAATTCCAGACTTTGGGAGATATTTACAACGATTCTGAACGCGATTGAGATTCTTTCCTTTTGTCAATTATTGGCAATTTTGGAAAACTGTCCAAAGGAAACTTACTCATGCGATCAGTGATTTAAATCAGTTTTAAGAATTACTTGCTATCTTACAAACACCTAAGTTTAATCGAGTTTTTGCTATATATGCGATTTACAGAGTCAATTATTTACAAAGTCGGTTTGTCCGCCTTGCTTTGAAAAAACTCTATCGCTCGTTATACAAAAATAACGTGGAAGCATTAAAGAATATTTTCCAGAAAAAATAGTCCATTAAAATCAATCGGCTGCATTCGAGTCTCCGGACAAACAGTGCCAAGCATAAATTATTTTTTCTTACTTTTTGATCCCAGAGATCAATTTTTTTCGTTTTTTCTTCTTTTTTTTAGAAATACCTCTTCTTCATTTTTCTCCACTTTTTTAAAAACCTTATTTCCTTCTCTCTCTTTTTATTTTCCTCTTTTTTTCTCCCGAAAAGTATAATCGCGCTTCGTTGCTTCGTGGCTCACTGACATTCAATCACACATGACATACGAACCTACATATACAAAAGCTTACACAAGTGTTACAATGAAAGAAAGCGTACAAATATCCAGATTACTATTTCGCATGGCTGGGCGTTATTTATCAACGAGAATATACAAGAAATAATAGTTATTTACAATTACAGTGATTTTTTTTTACTGCGGTGGCCCCACATAAACATTGTCAAAGTATCTTTCAGTAGTAATTGAACGATTCACTTCGGAGGATAAAAAAAACCCAAAACTTTTATCAATGCTTTTAAATCATTCGAGATTGTCGACTCGAAAATTTTTGGCCTATCACAGAAAAGCAAACATTTCTTCACGGAATGTTTCTTCCATCATAAAAAGAGGGAAATAATTATTGAAATTTTTTTTTAGAAAAATTACAAAATATAATGAGGAAACTAAATAAAATAGATGGGAAAAAATGGAATTAAATAAAAACTGATAGGAACTTGAAATGAAATTGAAGTGAGAAACTAATGAATAAAAATGGGAAATTTCTACTGTTAGGTGTGAATCAATGACATGAACAAGTATTATACACACCAGGGATGCAATTATAAAATTTCATTTTCATCGAAATATAATTTTTTGTTATTCCCTTTTAATTAAAATCTTTTGCCTCAAAATTATTATTCTTCATCAGAGCATAAAAATATTTAAGGAAATTTATTTTTTAGAACACTGTTTACGATTATACTTTTTATTCTAGCTTCTAGAAATCTTAATGAGTTTTAAATTAATTAAAAACCTCGCCTTTGACATGAATAATAATGAAATTCAATTCTGATGACAATAAAAATAAACATTTTTTAATTGCAATTATAATCCCAGCATAAGAAAAAAGTATGATATTCATCAAATGAAAATATAACTCGAATCAAATGGAAAAACTATATCAATGAATTCGAAGATGGAAGAAACTAAAGAAAGTTGAATAGAATAATTCTCTCCGAAATCGAGTCAGGAAATTTGTTTGTTACGGACGAAAAAACCTGTTTCTTTACACAAACTCTTGGATAATTTCGATTGAATATAAAAAAAACTAGTTTGTAGCCACTCTTACGATGTCTCAAATAAAATTGTAAATTTGTCAATAACCTAAAAAAACATTCAATTAAACTCTAAGTCTCCGCAGGTTTGTTTTAAGGGAGGGGAAGGGGGGTTGTCCTTTTGACTCGTCTCTGTCAGTTTGGTTGCGCATTTGTCTGTCTTTTAGGCACATTACATATGCAACAACAGAAAATATATATATATATTTTTTTTAAATTATTATTTTGTTTGTTATTCCCAAATGTTCCAAGTGTTATTTGTAATGCTCAAACATAAAAATGAAAATAAGTCTGAGTCTTGTTTCATGGAGGAATTTATCGGGTAAAAAATTTGCACGAGTCTGACGGGAATTAAGAGGAACTTGCCTGCTCGCTCATGTCGCGTAACGCTTAGTCCAAAGACGAGCTATGCGATCGTGTTCTTCTCTATTTTGAAGATATTGCGTTGCTATACTACCCACGAGAGGATCAGCTGGAAATTTAAATTCGATTTTTAATCTTAATTGTAAAATTATCAGTTATTGATATTCTATAACTTTTATAAAAATTTTATTTGATAATATAAAAATTGGAATTTTGTTGAGAATTACCTGGATTGCAATCCGTAAGAAGTGAGCAAATTGAAAGCAACACCTTTGAAATAGTAAGAGCAGGAGACCAATTGTCTTTCAAGATATCTAAACATATCACTCCTTGGCTATTTATGTTACAGTGATAAATACGTGTTCGAAATGTGACCTGTAAAATTATATTCAAGTATAATTAAAATATAATTTATCCTTTTGTTCATTCCTTATTTTCGAAACAAAAACTTCTATTACATACAAATTCTTAAAAAAAAAAAAAAAAAAAAAAAAAAAAAAAAAAAAAACGTTTCACAAACCTTTGGGGGTTTAAAGGGATACTCGGGTGAAAAATGAATGTCTAAAAAGAAGACACCGCCTTCGTAAACAGATCCAGGTGGACCCAAAATCGTAGAAACCCATTCATACAAATTATCCCCTTTAGGTCCTGCACTGTAAATCAAATTCATAAATTAGTCAAATTAGAAAAAAAAATTAATGAACACAATTATTCATTGAATGAAATTGAACAATTTGAAATTCAAATTTGAATTTGAAAAAACAATTATAAAATGAACAAACCTGCAATTTGGAGGTGGATCTAATGTAATTTCTGCCAATTCTTTCTGTATCCTGGAAAATAAAACAAACCAACAAATGAAAATGACGATTTGCGGTACATTTTTTCTTGATTATTCTGTTTCTTTATATTTCAATAATATTTACTAATAATATTATTATTAACAAAAGTACCTTTTAGCAGACGTTCCTAAAGCTTTTGACATCTTTGGATTTGGCTTAGCCTCTTTGTTTTCAGGCTTGTTATCTGCCAAAGATGATCCGCGTCCTCTTCCAGTGCCACTGGATCCTGCCCCAGATGCCATAACTCTATAATGATAAGATATAAAATCATTATTTAAAATTGTTATGTATCTTTTCGACTAACATAAAACGTATTTTACTAAAAATTATTGAAAAATATTCACCTTATGAGAATTTTTATATTCGATATCCAAAGGTAAAGGAAAATAAAATAATTTTATAAAAATAATGATTGTAGTAACAATAAAGATGTTAAATGATAGTGAAAATGAAAATGGTAAAAGTTATGACAGTAATAAACATAAAAATTATAAAAATAAAAATTCTTTTACCAGCTATAAGTTTAAAATATTGATAAATAGAATTTTTTTTATTGATATTAAGTACTAACATTAAAAATTGTAATCTATACAATTCTATTTTTTTAGACAAAAATCGTAAACACTAAGAAAAACACTTAATTTCTAAGATGTTTTCCTTTGGAAAGAGAAAAATCATTAACACTGTACTTAAAAAATTAATTTCTATAGCAAACAAAGATAAAGAAAACACTGATAATAAGAAAAATGAGAACTTTCATAATAACATCTAGAAGGAAGAAAAATATCAAACAAATTGGGGTGAATATAAAAGGCACGAGGAGTCACTGGGTAAAATATTCGAGGAAACCCTCGAGAATAAAAACCTTGATTTCTACAGGAACAAAAGTTTGCTGAGTTAACCTTCGTCGACTCCCATCCTCGAGAAAAAAGAGAATCTTTGTGAGAGCGCAACGCTCCGAATTGAAACTCTAAATTCGGGGATGGCAGCAAGAGTGAGAGGGAGAGAGAGAGAGAGAAAGAGAAAGAAAAATATAGAGATGATAGCTCGATAAATGAAGGACAAAGTTAAAGTTTACCTGGTGCCTTCGCAAGTGCACGCCGTTTTTGCAAGTAGATGATGATTCACGAATTCCTGGACTCTTGGGGATTTGGTTGTTAAAGAGGCCGGTTGAGAAACAAGCTTTAGTAATGGAGGAGCTCTCAATGGAACTTGGTGATCCCCTCCAACTGTTATTGGTCCGGAGTTTTAGGTTTTGTATATCACGCACTCCTATAGGAAACACTGTGAATTGTGGACCTCGAGAATTTTACGAGTATCGGTTATGTTTTGATTAAAAGAAATTGGATTGCTGCTGTGCGCGTTCGGATTGTGATTTTGACTCGGGAAACAGGAGAGGACATACAGCCGACCGAGGAAAACAATACACAAGCGCACAAAGACCAGGATTTGAATTACCCTCGTCTAGGGGAACCTGGAAATCCGGCGCTCGTCCAGCGTTTCTCAAAATTTGCCAGTCGTTCTATTACTGCTCATCTCAGTTTTTACAAAGAAATCTCAATCGCGTCGTCCTTTTTCATTCTAATTCCCTTATTAACACCGGGACATGCGCATCCCTGCGTCACCGGATGTTGATTTTATGATACTTCCGTGGCGCTACGTTCGTTTTTATTCAGTATTACCACCATCGTAAATTCCCTTCGATAGAGATCTTGGTTTTTGTTATTTTTTCTGTTTGTTTATTCGTACTTTATTGTAAATTGAATATTTTCTATTTACTATTACCTTTGTTTTAAGAGAATGAAGATTTTTTTCCTTTTTTTTAAAATGTGGATGATGTAAAAATCTGTTGTTCCTTATAATTTAAACCAATTTTAGGCGGGCTTTTTGAAAATATTGATATTCATTGTTGTAAATACTAATAGTGAATATACTTACTAGAAGTTTTTTAAATTAAAATTTGTCATTTTCAACTAATTATTGAAAGAAATTTAAAAATATGTTTTAAGTTATAACAAAGCATAATTTTATTGTATATAATTATTTAGTATTTATACCTAATAAATTTTTCTGTTTCAAAATTAAATATTATAAAAGAATGACTATAGGGCAAAGAAAATTATTATTATTATAAATAAACAATCGATAAAGAAATGAAAAAGAGAAATGAGTAAATAAAGACATCAAAAATTGTAAAACAAATTATGTACAATTTTATTTACACTAAAAATAAATAACGAAAAAAAATGTAAAAAAAACATACATTCTAGTCTAAAAAGAAATCACGTTTTTGTTGAATATGACAATTGATTATTAAAGGGTGAGTCAGGTGTAGAAAAACAGGAATAGTTTATTTTTTGTTTAAAGGCTTGAACGGGTGTAACTGGTAATGGAGAAGAAACATTAAAATTGCACTGTTTAGGAAAAAAATTTGGAGGCGGTACAGATAAATTTACAGGCACTGGCGGTAACATTGAATTAACTGGTGATGGTACTGGTAAATGTACTGGTGGTGGTACAAAGACATTCATTTGTGGCGGAGGTGTTGAAAACATTACTGGTGGTGGCACAGACAAATCCACTGGTGGTAGACCCGGAAGAAGAACAACATTATTCGAAGTAGCTGCAATTTGATTTGTATCTGTAAGTAAACGTTTAAATCAGTTTACATTCTCGATTCGAAAGAATTTGTAAACGTACCCTCTACAGGCATGGAGAGAGATTCATTAGGAGATGATGTTGAAGAGCTCGGAGTACCAGACGATGCAATTGATAATGGCGACTTTTCAGACTCACGGCCGTCTTTCTTTTTGGGTGAATACAAATCCAGTATTTGAAGGCCGATGTCCTCCAAAACAGTGTTGTCTAAATTCAGAATGAATAAATCACACCATTTTGTGTGATTCGGTTTTCTTCCTTTCCAATCGTCAATTTTAAATTTATTTAACTTCGCTGACACGTTAATCAACGCGATAGCTATTACTTCAGGCTCCCATTCAAGGCACAAAGTTGTACTTAAACTGAAGGCAAACGATATTGTATATCAGTTATTATTATCACTCAACAAAATAATGAATAGAATCAAATAAAAAATGTAATTTTTGAAATAATACCTGTCGTTAACGAAATTCCAGGCCATTTGAACAATAGTTTGAATTTTCGTTTTTTCTCCTTTCAGATATTTGGCATATTTTACAAGATATTTGTAAGGATGCTCAATATCAAATTCAAAATTGACAGTTTGCAGCAAAACACTCTCGCACTTCATGACACTTTCTCTCGGAGTTTCGCCAAACTTTTCAATAATGACATTCGCCTCATTTGAAAATATATCCCATGCTGCCTTTAAAAGATCCTTACTACGTTTTGGAGTTTCTTCTGCTTTTCCAGCAAGAAACAAAGAACTGCATGCAGTAATCTGTAATTTCACAAAAATATGAACAAGTTCTCGCTGTATCTTATTATGCAAATTAACAATAATGAAAATTCAAAATTATAAAAAGAATATTTTTAAATTCATAAAAATGCGAATATCGTTTTCAATATAAAAACCTTTTTCCTGGAAATTTTGATAAAAATGTTAGATACTCACATATAAAGGGAACTCCGTAAAAGAGTGGGCCATATAAAATCTTTGAAAATAAACAACAGCTGTTGCGATCGTATTATATCCAAGACTAAGTTTTTCACCCATATTCCGAATAAAATTAATTCCCTCCTTTCTGTATTGCGTTTCAGTCTCGCCATTAATTCCATCTCTAAGGGACGGTGTATTAACAAGTTCTTCTTTCTCGAAATACACAAACATCTTTACGTAATACCTAAAAAGGACTTATACTTGTTAGTTAAAACGATCAAACAAATATTTTTAAAAAACTATTTTACAATTAAAAAAGGAATTATATAAAAACAACAAAAGTCACTAAAAATATTAATAAAATTATTAGATAATAAATTTTCATTTTTCTTTAAATCTCAATAAATTGAAACCAGATCCTTTAATCAATTTGGAGTTTCAAAATTGAATTTTCTTTTTCTAAACAATAACTTACATTTATAAGGAATTTCCATTATTAATATTATTAATTTTATTCCAAATGACACAATTTTCATAAGTCACTTCACAATTAACATTTTGTATCTCATCTACAAAAATGACAGAATTGATTGACAGTTTATCAGTTGAGAAATTGAGACTTTTACAGTACCGAAAAAAAAGGTTTTTGAAAAAAATAAACAATTTCGAAACTTTTTCTTAATTTTTAAAAAATTATTTCAATTTTAAGGTTATGGTTTCAATGACCTTAAAAATTAACACACAGAAATTACCCTAATAAACACAATTCATTGATTGTATGAAATATCGATTTTCGACACTTTTTATTCACAATATAATAATTTCCTTGTTTGCACATTTTAATACATTTTTTTTTAATTATTTAAGTAAATTATTTTCATTTATCAATTATATATACTAATTTAATATCATTCCGTAATATGCATATATATGCATAGCAGTACACGAGTACACACATGCGCACTTCTGTCTTTTTTTCAAAATGGCGGCTCAGTTAACGGAATCTGTCAAAGTATCATCTAAGCCGGCAAAGTTTAATTTACTCGAAAAAGTGAAATGTACTTAGAATTAAACTAAATAGAATTGTGCGTTAGTCTCTGAAAAATAGAATCGATGATTTTACTTTTTAATCAGAGTTAAAAATTTAACTGTCACTTTAAAAAGTGTATAAAAAATTTCATTGCTCCAAAAACTATTTATATAGGAATTAATATTTTTATTTATTATTATTGGGATTATACGTATGAATTTTTAAATTATAAGCGAATACAAAAAAAACCATATATTTTTTCAAAAAAATATTGAACATATAATTGAGGATATGAAGAGTAATTTAGGATTTTCCACATGTCCCAATGTTCAGGTAAGAAAATAAATTTTCTTTTATACTCTAAAAGGATGTATGTAATACTACAGGGGTTCCATAGGATCAAAGCAATTAGAAGAAAGTAAAAGAAATGACTATCGTAAAATTTTATAACAAAGACACGCTCATCTCAGTCTTGTTAGACAGGTGTAATAAAATTCTCAGTGATCCCAATCACAATCTTGTCTGGAGACTTGTATGAAAAATTCCAAATTGCATTGTACATTGGCTAGACAGAACCAAGGAAAAAGTCAGATTTTAATATTTAAAGACCAATGACAATAGGACCAAATACAATAAATTGTAAAAGAATGTTAAAAACTTTCAGTAAAATATTCCTAATATAATATTCTTAATATTTACCGAGTACACGAAAAGTAAAATAATTAGGAAAAAATTTACTGGCATGAACAAAGGTTGTGATTTATAATTAAAATTCTTTATTTTTAGCGATTTTCTTCCAACATAAAAATATGATTTTTATTATTGTTTAAAATTTTGTAAATTATTTTTAATATTTTAAAAATACCAATGTTTAATTGATTAAATTGATTTTTATCAATTAGTTAATTAATTAAATTCATATGTAAATATTATAAATCTTGAAGATTATCTAATAATCTTAATTAAATTAAAATTGGTAAAAGTTAAAATAATTGTAAAATAGTTACTTAATAGTTAAAAATGTAATTTAATAACATGTCAATTAAACTAACACTTACTTTTCAATGAACGTTCCGACACAATTTCCAAATTATCAACAGTTTCTATTATCCTTAAATGATGGACACAGATTTTAAATCACATTCAATGTATTTTAACAAACACACATCAAGTTTCTCAAGATTTTTATTTAAAAAAAAAAAAAAAATACTCGAAAAGTTTGAAAAAAAGTTTTTCACAAAAAATGAGAAATTTTTTTAAAACAAAAACTAAGGTGACATTTTGTTTTTTAACAAAACCCACAAATTTGATGAAATCCGTTTTGGAGTAACGTGACACGTACCACTTTTCAGTTCGTGACTGACTAATGAACAGATAAATACAATTTTGTCTGTATCGTGTTTACTCAAAATCAACGACAATTCCAAATTACAAAGTTTCCCCCACTCAATGATTCATTGCACATGCGCTGAAATAAGCTACACCCTAGCACACTGATTGGATAAAATATTTGCCAAAGATTTAGTGAAAATTTAAGTTCCTTTTTAGGAAAGACACATTTTCAAATTTTAATTTTAATCACAACGACAACTTTTTGTTTTGTTTTTTGTTTTACTTTTTTAAGTAAATAAAGTTTAAATAATAAATTTGGAAATGTCAATGAAAATAACAATTTCTTTGGATAAAAAAATGTGTCCTTCAAATAATTAAAATTCATTGCCTTGCAGGTATTTAGAAAAAAAAAGTGGAATTTAATCCATAAAGTATTGATTGTTTTTTTTTTATTTATTCAGTTTCGCACGACAATGTTAATCCAGAACGATTCAGTGCTCGAGGACAAAGCTCCAAGAATTTCTGGCGCTCGTCGTTTAAAACACCTTACCACAGAGAGCTTATTATGCTAAATATGTCGAATTGAACAATAAATCTCTTTGCCGCGGATTAAAAATAATATACTCGGAACTGAAACTGAGAGAATCATAACCCAAGATATACACTACTACAGTTCCACTGAATCATATCCAAATATATTTTTTTCTGTTTCTTTTCTGGATGCGTTCAGCACTTATACGTAGTGCACTTACGTGAAAATTCGGCACACGATTACTTTTTTAATGCACTTTTCCAGTTATGACATGCATATTTTTCTTTATTTTTTTTATCACTGCTTCAGTCGCATACACATTCTGGCCACTTGGAGCTTGGCCATCTTTTTTTATCCAAGTCTTTTATACTATATATAGTTTTTTTGTCATCTCAAACATAATACTTATTTAATGGTGTCTATCACTGTTTATGATAGCGGAACGAGTGAATTACTTTCGGAGTACACAAACTAAATCGACTCTGCTTAATAGTTAATAGTAGTAGAGCTTATGAAATGGACAATATGAATTGTGCACCTAAGTCATTCTTTCGATAATTCGATTGCAATCGTATTGCTTTATTAAAGGTTGCTATTTTTTGGTTGGTGTTCCTCGTTGTGTCAGACCTTCGAAGCGTTTGAATGTGTAGTTTATAAATACCCAGTCCTTGTAAATCACTTCACCATCTTGTGGCATTGGTGCTGATGCTGCAAAAATTCATAATTTTTCATTATTTAAAATAGGAATATTATCATTAATTACTAATTTATAGAAAGTAACTATTAGATAAACTAGTGACGCTTTAAAATTTGCAACGTTTAAAAGAATTTTATAAAATAATGATGTTCTACTTACGTATTTCTAATTTAACATCTGGAAAATCGTCAAAGTTTGATGTATCGTCTATAGAACGCACTTCCACTGGAATAGCAGCTGGTCTTTCCCGGATATGTTCCCAATCAACACCCCGAAAAAAGGGTGCTAATTTCAATTCTTCGACACCTCTTTGGGCTCCTAATTAATAAAAATAAAATATTAGATGAAAACAAATTTTTTATTCCGAACTAAATATTTTGATTTAATTGTTTTTTCTTCTTTTTTGTTTTTGTTAAACATTTGAAAAAACAGAAATGAAATTATTCAATTTCCATGGGATTAAAAGAAAGTGAAAGTTTATTAATTAAAATATACTTACCTAACCTCCTATCAGCCTCACAGCAAAATCTCGTGATAGTATCTTTAGCTTCTTCGCTAATTGGTACTTCCGGAGGAAACACCAATGTTTCTCTCCAATTCATAACTTTTCTATATGTTTCTTGAGGATTTTCAGTGCAAAATGGAGGGTAACCTGAAACAAATTCAATTTCATTGGGAAGAGAAAGAAAATATCTTAAACAGTTATTGAAAGTTTTAGGTTTTGGGCGTTTTTTTCCACTGTGCCTTTTGAGAGCACTTATTAAAAAAACCAATTATTAGAAATTGTAAAGCGCTCACCTATAAGCATCTCATACATTATTACTCCTAAAGACCAGCAATCACACGCTGTTCCATATCCGGTTTGCATGAAGACTTCTGGTGCTATATAATCGGGCGTTCCTACTGTACTGTATGCTAATGCTCTCCTATTTCGTTTCCAACTTTCTGCTCTTCTTTTACTATCCATGGCTCCACCACTGCCACTTCCACAAGAAGTCACTATTTCAAATTGAACAAATTTTTTTAATACTACAATAATATTTCAAAGAAAACATATTTCTCAACGTTTCTTTTTGTTATTATTAACTTATTTTAATTTCGCAAAAAGTGTGCAATTGTTTTTATTAATAAGTTAGATTTAATTAATTAATTTTTTTACAAGAAAAACTTACTGAAATCGGACGGTTTTGCTTGACTTAGATCTCGGTAGAAATCTGTTCTGTGAGACTTTTTTAAACCCGTGCAGAGCCCAAAGTCAGACAATTTTATATGACCTCGTGCGTCCAGCAGTAGATTATCTGGCTTAATATCCCTAGAATTCCATTTAATTTTTTGAATTTCGTATTTTATTGTCTACAATTATCAATTATTAGATTTATTACACAAAAAATAATTAAAAATTCTTTCATTTTTTTATAATTCATTACCTATGAATAAAACCTAATTTGTGAATGGAGTCAATTGCTAGTGCCGTTTCTGCTATATAAAATTGTGTGCATTCCTCGGAAAGCGTGTCTTTTTTCATAAGAAGCGTCATCATATCACCTGTAAAAAAATCAAAAAATACGTGATAAATTGTTTTTCTTCAGGAAGAAGGAACAGAGAGGTCGAATTTCTGAAACGTGACACATGTACATTTTACACATGTACATATATACTATATAAAAATATACGAAATAACTAAGAAATTCCTCGAGTTCTGTAAGATCATGACCTTCGTCATTTTAAAAATATTTTAACAAATTAAAAAAATTTACTATTTATTTAAAAAATTGCAATCAAGTATTCAATTTACAAATATGTCAAAATGTAATTATTGGAAATAAAAAAGTTTAACATATTTTTTAAAAAGGTTCAAGAGAAACAATTTAATTTTGCTCTAATGAAAATAACTTTCTAAATCTAATGACTTTTCCATGCTCCAATGACTTGCTGACGGAAAGAAATTTTGAGTTTCTCACCTCCAGGTAAAAATTCCATAATAAGGTAGAGATTAATTGGATCTTGGAAACTATAGTACATTTTAACAACCCATTGGTGATCTGCTTCGACGAGAACGTCTCTTTCAGCTCTGACATGGGCAACTTGCTCCTTTTCAAGCATGTCTGCTTTCCTCAGGATTTTCATTGCATATACATGTCCAGTATCCTTTTTCTGAACCAGTCTCACCTATTTTGACAAAAAGTAGAAATTAATGTTATTAACATAAATATTTTAGTGTCCTTAAAAATAAATAAAATGTAAATAAAACGTTACCTCGCCAAAAGCACCTCTGCCAATAACTTTGAGTGGTTCAAAATCCTCGACACCAAGTCTGGACCGCTTGAGGCGAAGAAATTCTGTTTCCTTTTGAGCATGCTGTAACCTCTTCTCTTGTTTTTGCTGCTCGGAAAGTCCTTCATCTTTTAAAGACTCTTCTAATTTCGCGAGTCTCTGCTTTCGTTCAATATGTTGAGCTATTAAATTGCTATAATAATTTTCCAGAGTTACCTGAAACAATAGAAATGATTTAGGAAAATGGATTTTTTTTTATTTTGGCAAATTTAATTATTAATTTTAATTTTTTAATTAAATAATGGGGTAAAAATTACTTTGGCTTTCGTCGCCTTATCCAACGTATGACCGCTAAATCTGATTGTACTTTCTGTAGCAGCCATATCCAGTACTCCTGAAACAAAAAGTTACAAATATTTATTTATATTGTAAGAAGTACTTTATTTTCTTTGGAAAATGATAAATATCTAAACCAAACTGAAATGTTAATGTTTCATTCTTGATAAATATAAAATGATAAAAAATTATTCTACAATAGTTTTATAGAACAAAAAAAAAAAAAAAAAAAAAAAATTCTCGCGAATAATTCCCAAGAGGAATTATAAAATCATTTTATGTAATTCTCAAGAGTATAATAATAATTGTAAAAACGATTGTATAACATTCTCAAGAATTATAAAATTATTTAGATAAATCATTTTTGTTTTTTAGTATCTATGAATTAGGTTTATTCTTCTTTTTTTTATTTCTCCCTAAAAATTATTGATCGGTTTTGTATATTATGCACATATATTGTAGAACATAAAATGAAAGTCGAGTACTTTTAAAACACACATGTAGTTTTTGTTACAGAGACGAAAAATCTCTACTTGCTTAATTTTTGTTTCTGAGACGAATGGAAAGTTTTAGCGGTTATTTTATTTTCGTCACTAAGTCAAAATGAAAGTCTCTATTAAGTTGAAACCTTCGAAACAGAAATGTCTCCTATTTTAATATATATTGAATCTCAAATGTATTTTAAAATACATGGTTCACGAGTAATTAAATTCTCCAAAAAATTGCAGTTATCCAAAATGTCTTAATATTATTTAACAATTAGGTAATATAAACTGTTAATAATTAAAAATTAAAACTGAATTGGTTAGAATTAAAAAAAAGATTATACAATCTTTATTTTTTTTACCTATAACTTTCTTGGATAATTAAAAGCATTTACATTATTAATTATGCAATAATGATGAAAACTAAGCTTTCTTAAACTACACATCAGAGATATGAAAAATACGAACAATAAAATTACGAAATGCATAGTTTATTGGGGATATGCCTATATCCTTGGGACGTATTTAAAGAATAACTTGTGCCTTATTCGTAGGTCAACTATTCGTGCATTTTATTACTACGAAGAATAATTAAATTTTTTTCTCTCGTTTATTAAGTTAACCTGTTTTGAAAAAATCAATTTCCAAGCTTGGGTGTAAAAAGTACAAAATTACTATAATATAAGTGATTAGTGATTTTGACTTTTAATTATAGGTACATCGAATGAGAATATTTTTAATTTTTTATCATTATCACACTAATATAAGTGAATTAATTCTAAATATGATAAGTAGTTAATTTACATACGAAAAGTTGAAAAATATATATTGCAAATGAATCGCAAAAAGAGCATTTTGTGTTTGCAAATTTACGTGTGTTATGCAAAAATAGATTAATAGAATTTTGTATCTAAAATAAACTACATATACTTAATTACTATTACCACTATATATCAATAAATATAAACTTTGACCAAACTATGTAACTTAAAGTTGACATTGTCATTTATGTATTTATGAAATGCTATTTCGCGAGATTCTTAACAACTATAGATATATGCAAAAAAAGATCGATATTACTTCAAGAGAAATTGCAAAATAAGCAGAAAACTAAAAGAAACCTTTTATTACACATATGGCGTAAGAATCTTTTGAAAATGTGCAAGGAATTAAAATCTGAATAATATTACTGTTAAAATGTTGAGACTTTTTAACGATTTGGAATAAATTTTTATCTATTTCAGCAGAAAAATTTCACTTAAAATACATTTTTTTTATTATTTCATAATTATTTTTTTAACATTAACGATTTTTAATAATTAATTAATTGTAGGTAATAATCCAAAATTTAATTTAACACCTATTCCGTCATGAGGACAAATCTAAAAATAACTTATACATGCGTTAAAAGAAAAAACACTCGAATCTTGATAATGATTTTGACTAATTTTGAAAATGATCTAATGGTAAATATTACCTTCCACCTCGTGTGTATTGAAAGTTAGCTTTATTAGGCGATTGATAAGTTCATTTCACACTATTTCTGCACTCGTGGAGCTTAGGTGCAAGTGTCACTGCAGTAGGTAGGTGTCCAATTTTAGCCGAAGGCATTACCCGCGTGCAATCTTGTGTGACTATAGTATATAGTTGAGGAAGATTTTTCTTTTTTTTAAATTTTTCAAATGCCTCCGACTTTCGTCAATTTCTTTCGTATATATATACATATAATAAAAGAAAAAACAAATAAACAATTTTCAGACAACACTTGATTATTATTTAAATATCAAGTTATTTAAAAAGTGGGACAAATTTCCGGAAAACTTAAACATTTTGTTAATGTGACAAAAAAAAACAAAAAAAAACACAGTTTTGAGTGTTATAACACTATTGCCACACGAATTCGTCGACCATGAAGAAAACACTGCCTGCTGGCAACGACTACCGTTCTACTTCTTCCGTCGGTAAGAAAGAGACCGGATGAAACTGATGCAAACTGATGTCACCTGATGGTGATCACTCGCGTGTTTCTAGGCTCTACTTATACATATCATAGAATGTTTCTATAATTTAAAATTAAACCGCGTATTTCTCCTTGTTTCCCATAAAGAAGGGTCAAATAGACCCACTGTGCGTGTTTTTGGAAGTTTACGAAAATTCCTCAATCACTTCATTAGGATTTAAATGGTTTATAATTAATATCTTAATGTGTACACAAATGACAATAAATAGACCTGAATTGAGACAATCCTTTTTCACACCTACTCTTATCGAGACAGTAGCATATTATAACTCTTGTATCAATAACCGACAAATTTAAAGAAACAAAAAAAAATTACATAGTTTCGTTCTGTTTTTCAATTTCAATTTCTCATGCTAGCCGTTGAGCATTTCATATTCGATCCTCTCTCAACGCGCATATAACAGTACATTGAATCCGTTTTGCGTGAATTGCAAAATATCAGTTTCCTTAGTGGAAATATAATCGAGCAAATCCGATTCAGAACAATAGAAAAGTTGAATTGCTTTTGAAACTGCAACATTTCCTTTAATAATAATTTTACGGCATTGCATATAGTATACATGTTTCTATCTCTAGTTTGTGTGATGATCACGTGACCAATAATTATTTCCACTAAGGTTATTCATAAAGTAATAATCGTAAAGAAAAAGCACAAGGAGCGCGTCTTTCCAACTTCCATAACACAAAAAAAAAATAATTTCACGAATAATAATTTTTTAACTGTAATTGTTCAATTTACGAAAAATAGGCTTACGTAAGACAATTGATCGCGTTATCCTGTCGCGCATGTCCTTAATTACGTCATATAGTATATACGAAACTATTTTTAACGTATTGAGACACAATTTTTCATAGAAATTCTAATTGGTATTTATTATTATCTAATATTTAATTTAATAATTAAATAATGTTCTCCAAATTTATGCTAATTATTGCATTTAGGAACAAAAGTGAAAAAAAATTTCATATAGATATTTATAGTTTTAAATGAAAAAAATAAAAATTGAGTCTACTGATAGACACTTATAATTAACTGTATTGACAGGTAATTAACAGGTTAATTAGCATGTGAAGATGTTTATTATACTCATTGATAAAATAAGTAAACACAAAAAACTGAGAATTAATAATTCTTGATTGAAATAAATATAAACTATAGTAAAATTGAACTCAATTATTTGATATATAATATTATTATATTTTTCAGAACTCTCAATTTTCTTTATTTAAAACTTGTTTTAATTTTTTAAAATAATCACGAGTTCTTGTGCCTTTGAACAATTTAATAAACAATAAACCATCAACTGTATGAATTTTAAATAATTTAAGTAAATATTTTGCTGGTTCGCGAACAAAAGCAACTTAAGCGAATCTAAAACAAATCTTTTTTTTCAGTAAAATATTCTTCCTACTAAACTTGTGGAAAAAATGGTTTCCTTGCGTATCGTTTCAGATTAGATTTCGAGCAACTTTTTAAAAATGATTAATTAATTAAATACCAAAATGACAAATACATTAAATAGGACTATAAAACTTGATTAATTTATGTTAAAAATGCAATTTTTTGTACCTAATGTTCTTTTAAATTGCAATTTTGTAAATACGCAAACTTTGATACCATTTTTTTTATCTTAAAATTGTTTAACATGTGATTTGTATTAAAGTATAATATATGATCGTTAAAGTATCACGCAATGTAACTGCAATGCAGAGCTTGCTATGTTAATTAAAGAAAAAATTTACGATTTTATCAATGCAAAAAAGAAGCATGAAAAGTTGAAGAAAACTTTAATTTAATAAAAATCAGTAGACGGTAATAATACTTTCATTTATTGCATTTTTGAATAAATCATTTTTAAATTGAACTTTAATACTTTTTTATTATTAAAAAATTAAATTACAAATAAATAATATTTCGAATGAATTTTTAGCCACATAATTATAATATTTTCTTGTTAAATAATTTTAATCACTTATCAAACTATTTACAATTGCTATCGATTGAAGCTCATCATAGTATATATATAATAATTCTCGAGTCTCAGCCTCATTTAAATTCAATTTGACCAATAAATCTTTATTGTGAGTAATTTTTCCAAACTCTGCTTTAGTTTTACAAATCTGTTTCCGTTAATTAAAGAAATATTCTGCATCAACAATAAAATATTTGATAGCTATTAGAATTAATGTGAAAGAATTTTTTGTTTCCACCTAATTTGAAATTTACAAATTTTAATTGGAGCAGTAGAAATTTTTCTAAACTAACCGCAATATTTTGTTGAGAAAAAATAAGAATTAAGTTATCGACTCTTAAAACATTCCATGTTTAATGAATAAATTTTTTCTCCAAAAATGAATCTACATTTGCCTCAATTAAAAAGAAAATCACAATCTTTATAAATCGATCAAAAAGTCATACCTGATTTTTCAATGATCGATGACTGATTAAGCTTATTACTGCTGAACCATTTGAGAAATTTTTTGGTAGTAGTTTCACTAGATTGTGTTTTACATCCTTCCAATTGTAGGACCGTGTTACTGTTATTATTATGATGATGATTGTTTCTGATAAAGGGTGGAAAGGTCGTGTAGGGCGATGTCCAACACTCGGATGATGAATTTTGTATTGAATTTATGGAATTTTCTAATTGTCCCGATTGGACCACCCTCTCCTTTGAGACAATTGGTGTCAACACCCTATCGTCATGGGCAGACGATAGTCCACAAAATATGAAAATCATTTAAAATTCAGTTCTTTAAACCGCCACTCAGCAAAATATCATTAATATATTTTATCACAAGTTTAAAAACATTAATTCACAATAATTTAACAATTTTTAAAAAATTGTCTACTTCCTACTTTGTTTTTCATAGAAAATGAAGCTTCCGAGGGGAATTTTTTTTATAATAATTACGTGTACACTTTCATATTCAGTCATTGAGTAACAACAGAATGAAGGCGGTAGCAACAAGTTAAAATAAGAGCGACTTCCTCGTATGTCAGGTACCGTTACATCCAAAGTTGCTTTTTAGTCGCCAATATGAAAATTTAAAAGGATTTAACCAGTCAAAATTCATTATTGCTCATGCAATTTTCGTCAAAATTCCTGTCCTTACAGTAGAAAATTAGAATTAAAAAATTCCACAATAGTTTCGTTCTTACAATTCCATTGTTAAATTATTGCACGATTGGTTCACCAATATCACGCAGTGTCACTTAAAACTTAGCAATTTCCTTCAACTGTTATTTTGAAATACTCATCTATTCCATAGGTTCGAAATTTAGTAAAAATACATACTATTTCACACCAAAGTTTTGAAACGTTATTTCGTACAGGTTATTTCAAACTTTCTAAACCGTTTCCAAAATTGTTATTACATTTAAACGATTATTTCGCACAGGTAGAAAACAGTTTTGAAACCGTTCTCCGCAGTTCTTTGTTTAGACTAATGTGATTCCTATTTCTTTGTATCCAATTTTATCAAAGTAGTAAAAGCTTTTTATGGGGAAAACTCAGGGACATGTACAATAGAAACAGTATTAGTTTTTTTTTTGTTGATGTATTTTTATCGACAAAAAAATCGTTGCGCTTTAACACCTTTTGTCTGACATATCAGGAACATAGGAAATCTAGAGAGAGACACCGAACTAAAGGACAAGTTCCGTGGAAACTTGGGGTACAATTAGACTTTTTTTCGCTCAGCACAAAAGTACAGTTAAAATTGCCTTTAAAGAGCATGACCGTGCAGTCTATTTCTCCGTTGAACATGCGCAACTTGAATATAGCGCTTTTTTTATTATTGTCAAGAGCCTCCACACTTGATAACAACAAATCCAGTTCATATAGGTATCGTCACTCTTTTTTATTTCTTTTCGACAAAGTCTCTCTAGTCGAGAGAATGTCGACTAAATTTCTTAAAGCTTGATTTTGAAGACATGTATTTTTTTGAAAGACGGTTGTTCTACTTGAAAACTAGAACGCACTGGCGTTCACGACACCATGAATTATTTTCAAATAAAACTCTCGAATACTTCTTGAACTCAATTTCTTATCAAGCTTTCATGTGTGACGACAGTTAGCCTTATGATTAACTGTACGTATGATATCGACGTCAATAACTGGAAATCGCAAGAAAATAATTCACGACAAATGAATTTCACTTTGACGTGCCTGATGATGATGATGTTTCTTCTTCAGGGGGGCGACATTTTTTTTTTTATTTTTTTCATCCTCTTTTTTTCATATGACCCTATTGACGTTGCACAAGAAACGAAGGAAATTACTGCTGATGCCACTTATTGGTGGGATTGACTAACGTTTGCTCACTTCTCTATTTTCTGTTCTCTCTCCGGAGTGCACACACAACAGCGAAAACGAACACGCCGCGCGAATGGCATGATTCTGTTTGTCTTTTTCTTATCCAGCGCCTCTCCTCTCTTGTAACTCACGCTCTCTTTCTCTCTCTCTCTCTCTCTCGCGCTATCTGTTCGCTCTCCCCCCACTCTCTTGGATCTCTTACACAAGCATGAGGCCACAGCCGCATATCAGGGACACAGACATGGAAGCCCCTTGTCCCCCAAACTCCTCTATTGCACGAATACTGGGCTAACTTCTCTTCTAACACTAATAAACACCTGTATATGTTTGCTTTTCTTACCGCGCTTATTCTCTTTAAAACGTATAGAAACCGGTTGTCTAAAATTTCCTTTCACCCGAAATACAGAAAAACTTAAACCAAGTTAAAAATTGCTCAAGTTTCTTGTAAAATTGTGTTACTTACACAATTTATGTATTTATTTGTCATGGTCATCATCAAGAGTCTTTGGTATGTTGCATTTCATTCAAATAATCAACTATTATCAAATAAATATTTATTTAATTATTATTTCAGTCAATTAAATCAAATAAATTTTTTCTCATCATTTTTTTATTTCTTATTTACTTTTTATCACAATGCTTAACTTTTTGAGTGTTACTTGTATAAATTTTAATAAACTTTATCAGTATATGAACAATTCTTTCTATTCTTATCAGTCTTTTGTTATTAGGTTTTTTATCATCATGAATAATGATTGTATTTGATAAAATATTTTTAAATTTACCATTAATTTAAGATGAAAATTATAAATGTTAAATAATAATAATTATTATTATTAGTAGAAATAATGTTTTCAAATGTCAAATTTAATAAAATTTAATCTGCACTACTTCTTTTTTTTATGACCTGCTAAACTTTTAAGTATCTAATATAACGTGGTTGTAAATCAGAAAAATCGTACGATGCAACATCTATAAATAATAACATCTGGATAATATGCTGATATGATGTTATTTTAATAAATCTTAATAAATCTCTCTAACGACAGCTGAACTGAAATTCACACTACCTATAGAAAAGTTTCTGTTATACGATTTTTTACAATTTCGAACTTCCCGAATCTCAAATTATATTTTCCCGAGGATTTTTCAGGTAAAATAAGACTATTGAATCTTGAAAACCTTTTTTTAACTTAATAAACATTGAAATTTAAAAAGAAAATAAATAACCGAAATTGAGCGAATTGCAGATCAAAATAAAGTTGAATTTCTGTTAATCACTCTTATTACAGTGTAAAATAATTTAATGATTTTTTTTATTCAGTCGGATTGTTTTTTTTTTGTAAAAAAAAAAGAAATAAATTAGATCATTTCTACTTAATTATAATTTATAATCTAGATTAAGCTTATGAGGCCTATAAAAAAACATTTATGAATTATGACATTCGAAAGTTATGTCTCACGTTTTATTTTATTTTACTTATATATAATATAAACGGGGGTTATAAATTATTTTTCTCAGGTGTTTGTGAATACACTTTACTTATGTGAAAAATTTCTGCTTTTTCATATAATATTTGTGCTGCAATCTTTACTTGTATTTCAAGACAAATTTTATATAAACACACGTGTATCATCCATATCGTAATCAATTTTTCCTCATTCATATTTTGTTTATTTCTTACGCTTGCACGTGTTGAGATATATATCTATATATATATAGAGCGTGCGTTATTCATGCTTTTATATTCTACAAAAATGTTTAATTAAAAAAATAAAAAATAATACTCCTCACGTCAATAATAATAGCAATAAATGTTAAAATTTTAATTACAAAGAAGAAGTAAACTACTGATCAATAAAAATTACTAAATGGAATATTAATCCTTTTTTTGAAATTTAGTATAAAATAATTATTGTTAAGTTTTTATATATATATATGAAATGAAAGCTTTTTTATGGAATGTGAAAATATCTGCAATCGGATGAGTGATTACTGATGAGACTTTGTAGATGGACATTTTTAAAATATCATCAGAATTCTTTTCTTTTTCTTGTAACACGGTTCGTCTTAATCGTATTTCTTAATTAAATGATTATAAGAGATACAGTAAATTTCGACGAAAATTAAAATTCATGATAAATGTTTTTTTTTTATTTTAGTATTCATTTGAATTTTTTGTAATTCAATAATTTCTTCAAAATGCATCAAATAATTGGTAAAGAATAATTTAAAGATAATTGTATGATAAAAAGATTTTTTAAAATGATGAATCTATAAGATATGAATATTATTTCAAATTATTATTAATTATATTTATATTTAATTTCGATAAATTTTAATTGATAAGCATATCTATAGTTGTTTTTATCCATGAGTTTTTCCTTCGAGTTAATAAAAATTATTTAAAAAAATAATTATAATAGCAGTTTTTTTTAATCGATTCACTAATTAATAAGTGATTAACATTCAAACTAATGGAACCTCTTGCGAATAGAGAACTCTAATAATAATTGATTGGCCGCAATATTATTTCTTTTCTAATTTTAAAAAAATATTACAGAATGTGATATTGATTCTCATGCTGATATCATTTATCTGTGTAATACAAATAGAACTGTATATGAGATATATATTTATCTGCAATTTTATCAGAAAAGAGATCAAGTAACTATGAATAATAATTATAATGAGGGGTTATCCACAAAACACTGATACTTTTTGTGGTGGAAGAGGGGGAAGAAGGGGTTTGTCATTAAAATATCACGCTCCATATTAACCGTTAATGGAAAAAGAGAGGAGAAGGGGGTCAAGTTTCTGAAAATATCCATCACATGCTATGTTCATGACCTTAAAAATCTAATTTGAATGAAAAAAATTGTTTTAAATCGAAATAGAACGGCTTTCAAATTTTTTTTAAATTGTTTCTCAGTTCTGAATGAGATACTAATAATAAAGGCGGAAGATATTTTTATGCGCGTCAAAAAAATGTGTAAAAAAAAACCCTATAATCGGACAAAACAAAATTTTGAAAAAGTACTCACATTATAAGCACAACTAATTGAATTGACTCGATAGGTGTGCGAATATCTTCATTGTCTCCAAGCACGGAAATAATTAAAGTTGAAATATTTTTTGTTTAATATAAATGGTTTTGGAAAAAAAAGTTCTTGCCAATAAGAAACTTTCTACTATAAAATTCCAGACAAAACTCTGCTTGTTTGCATTGAAGCAGTCAATAAAATATTTCTCTCATCACCGTTAAAAATAACATCTGCTTAGAAAATTGCCTCTAGAAGAAACATAAACCAGCGAAAGTAATTTTTATGAATTTTTCATTTCTATAAAAAAAATTTCCTCAAAAAAAACCCAAATAAAAAAAAAAAAGAAAATAATTTAATGATTACAATTTATGAAAAATTGTCTTTAACATTGAAAAAATCTATGATTCTTGACAATTAACCTCTTTAAGATCTATTAATTAGATATGTAATTTAAATTACCTTCTTGATTAGGTTGATTCTGATTTGTAGATAGATTAGGATGTGGAATCATTGATGAAGGTGTTTCATCTTCAGCGACGCCCATTGTGGAACTTACAGCTTGTTGATGATGTGTTTCAACTTCTGTTACTTCCTCACACCTGCAAAAGTTGAAATATTATGACAAATTTAATAACAAATTTTTTTTTATTTATTAAACACATTCGCAAAAAAAAAAGACAAAACAACAGTAAAAATGGTTATATAAAATAGAATATAACAAAATTATGGTAGACAGAAATAAAAATGTGTATTAATTGCAATAAATAAAAATAAAACTATGTAATATAAAAAAAAATTGAAAAACAAAATTATCAAATATATTTCAGGAATTTAATGAATCGCGACTAACAATAAAGAAGCAATGAAATTTATTATTAAAAATATGGTTTTATAGAAAGCAAAAATAATTTTGTGTACAAATTGTTCAAATTAATTGTTAAATACTCACATGTTATTACAAGTAAGCCGAGAAGACGCTGTAGAATTGGTACATCGAAGATAATTAAAGTGGCTAACTCCCCTAATATAAAAAAAATCACTTACACTTTGAACACTTAACTCACTCGCGAATCAAAAATATATTTATTTAATTGGTAAAATATGTACTATACTTTTTGACAAATAATGTGATTACAGAATTACAATTTATAATTGTCTTAACTGGCGTTTAAATGTATGTTTTGATAACTTGAAGTTGAGAAACCATTCCCCTCACTTGCAGTGAGATAAATTTGCCCAATATTTATCCAAACAAAAGAATATTGACAAATATTTCAGCGTCCTCGTCGTGATACCGTTATCAACCAATATTGTGCCTGGTTAAGGATGTAAATAGTACAACATCCAGTTTAATGAGATTCGACAAGCCTGCAACAAGAATACTTTTAAGGTCAGTTTAAAATACAGAAAATCCATAAGTTAACCAGGGTTGGGAAGTTACGTGTCGGGGTTTTTTGATGATGATTGGGATCTGAAATACTGCGATACGCCATCTGGTGAGAGCCTTGTTGTGGTGGCCATGTTTTCATTCCGTGTTTCTCTAACATATACAAAAGAAAGAGATAAAAAACCAAGATGGTTGTCACAAGAAGGCTCAGGGGTGGGTCAGTTTCGCGTGATTTCTGATCCCAATTACACCTCCTTGTATTGCAGAAGAATGTAGTTTTTGATAACCAAGGTGTGAAAATACCCTAAAAGACCTCTGCTCGATCGAAGCACTCAAGTGGACATTTTTAGAAGCTCTTTTTACTTCAATAAGCGTTTCATTTATTTTGGAACTGTGTGGTTAATAACCTTAAATTATACTGTTGTGACAGTTTTGTGAAATATACAATCAAGTGGTATATATTTCTCACTTTTTGTTTACATTAAATTTTAATTAACCATAAGAAATGTAATTATTAGTAATGTAATATATTATAATAGTTAATAGTGTTAACAATAATAATAAAAGTTGATAATATATTATTATTTAAAATTCGAAACAAATTTCTCATTAAAATTTCTTGTGTTTTCAAAGTTTTATTAATATTTCAATAAAATTTTTTTTTTAATTTCTATATTGTTTTTTACTATACATTTATGATGAGGAATTTTTTGTAGGTTATGTTTATGTTGCACTGAAATAAAATAAAAATATAACTTTCAACAATAGTATAAATATTAAAATAGTTCTAACAAACAATAATTAAGAATCGTGAATTTCAAAAACTGTTTAACAAAAAAGAGTAAGTGTCATTTTCGCATAACAATTGATAGTGAAATACAGTTTTCAGAGTTAAGCCATTTTCGAAATTCACGATTCAATTGTTTTTGTAATAATAATATTGATTATGTAAACGAATCAACAGATGGATAAAATATTTGGTAAAGACGAGGATTCCGGAAATGAAAATGATTTCATTGAAGTTGGACCAAAGGAAGATGAAAAGCAGACATCAATGGAAACTTCGGGAGAGAAAGAAATCATGGACGAAAGTAGCACAGATAAAGACATTGCTTCAAAATCAAAGGAAAATGATGTGGTAAGAAAAAATAGAAAACACTTTAATAATCGAGAATTTAATTATTATATTTTTCTTTAATTATATTTACTTCTTTTAATAGATGGATATTGAATATACGACGAGTTCTCAATCACAGTCTGATAATGAAGAGACATCTTTGCCTTTTAAATCGGAAGTAATAGAAGATCATATCGAAATTATAAAACACGAAATTGAAATTCCTCCAGAACAAAATCGCGAGCCAATCACAGAGGATTTATTTGGCAACAGTATCCTTATGTCCAATGTGACTCCAAATAATGTTAAAGAGCGAAGAGAAAGTAAGGAAAAAAGTAAAAAAGAATTGGAGGAAGAGGAAAGAGAGAAAATGCAGTAAGTTTTTGGTTTTTTTGGGAAATTTTTCATCTTCGAATGCGTAATGAAATTCAATTTGTCCTTAACAACACAATTATAAAATAATTAACTAGTCAATTATTTTAGAGTTTTAGTGTCTAATTTCACAGAAGATCAATTAGACAGATATGAAATGTATCGAAGAGCAGCTTTCCCTAAATCAGCCATCAAACGCGTAAGACTAATAAAATTTATAATTTTTATTTAAATTTAACATTTTTTCCTGACAATAATAAAAAAGTAAAGGGCAGAATCAAATATAGTTACATAACATTATTGTCTTCTTGTTATAGATTATGCAAACAATTACAGGATGTTCCGTATCTCAAAACGTTGTAATTGCAATGTCGGGCATAGCAAAAGTATTTGTTGGGGAAATTGTTGAGGAAGGTTAGTAAGCAGAAATCATTAATATTTCCAGCTATAAAATAATTTAAATAAATTTAATATAATTTCATATATTTGAAAAAAGAATTTTGGTCAGTTCGAAAAATATTTTCTGTTATTAAATAATAGTAAAATCTTTGGTTAAAAAATAATTAAAATCTTTTATGTTTCAATGAAAAGCTTTAGACGTGATGGAAGCCCATGATGAATCAGGACCAGTGCAACCAAAGCACTTGAGAGAAGCAGTTAGAAGAGTAAGACTTCAAGGTCAAATACCAAATGGAAGAGCTCACAAAGCTTTCTTTAGATTATAGCATTTTATTCAAATATTGAATTTTCATCTTTATTTCGCGTTATCATTATTAATAGCAATTTAATTTGTATGAGAAATGTAAATAGTTTGTTTTTTTAAAAATAATTTTGAAAATAAAAACTGCATCTTTTAATTTCAATTTCTGTGTGTGAAATTCAAGATCACAAATTTGATTATACAATATTTCATTTTATATTTCACAACCCAGATTGAGAAACTTGTATTTTGGAGTATTTTGATCACGAAATGAAGGACAGGAATTTTCCGTTTTCTTATTTATTACCTTTCGTCGAGATAATTTGCAATGATTTCGGCATAGTAATGGAATGTTTTTTGTATATCTATGTACACATATACATTTCCGTAAAACCGGTTTTATCAAACTGGTACATATATAATTATTCTCATTTATATAGAAATGACTCAAAATTTTTTCTCAATTTTTGCTCTAAATCGTAAAAAATAATATTGACCGAGAAAAATTGAGTAACAATTTCTTTACGAAAATATAAATTTTTTTTTCAAGTGTAATTTAAAAATTTAAACTAACATTCTTGTAAATAAAAATCTCAAACCTCTTTTCTCATCATTGGCTTTCAAAAAACTCGTCCGTTTGGAAAATTCTTGAAGGATGAAACTCAGTTGGAATTCGTTGAGGCGCTACCGGTTCTCCAGACTTTTTCTGTAAAAAAAAATATATTAATGATTAAAAATAATATTAGAAATTATATTTCATATACAGCTTTATATTTTAACTTACGAAAAACGTCAAAGGATTTAAAATCGTAAATCTTTTTTCGGCAGATCCGAGATAAATTTCAGCATTCTCAAAATCTTTTTCTAAATCCGTTAAATCATAATTTATACGGAGTACAATGCGTTCAAGAAGATCGACTTTCTTGCAAAGTTCTATTATTTTCGGACACATCATCCGAAAAGTAGGAATATACTGATTAGTGCATTTCTCATTTTCCGATTGAATCTGACAACATAAATTGTAATTGGAAAAACAGAAAAATATCAATTTTTTTGTTATAATAATGAGTCTAATGAAAATTTTAAGTTAAAATCAGGAAAAAAAGCTTTAAATAATTCAAATTAATTAAAGTTTTTTCAAGTTAAAAGATATAAACAAATAAAGTTGAAACATAAATTAATATTTACAATTTGAAATTAGTCCTGATATTAAATCATACTCTAGTAATTTTTAGATTTAGAATCTACTTTTGTTTCTTAATTTTGTACACACTGATTTAATAGATTCTAACCATTCTAATAATAGATTCAAATTCTTCTAAACGCATCTGCATATCCTCTACTGCGTCATGAATATTTTTTGTCTGTAAAAAAAAATGTTTAGCTCAACAAAATTTACATAAAAAAATGTAAATGGACATTACATTTTGTTAAATTGAAAAAATCATTGAATCAATATTATGGATGCTTTAGTACAATAATAAATCATTCATTAAATATTAATTATTGTAGAAATTTCAGTTTTTTTTAGAAAAAAATGTCACCTTTTTATTACGTCTTTTGAGAAAATGATTGATTAATGCTTCTTTTTTTGTTAACAAATGAGATTATAAATCTTCATTTTATTCTTTTAGACAAAATATTGATTTAAAAAACTGAAAAATATTTTTTTGCTTTTTTCATAAAAATATTTCAAGTATGGCGGCAAAATTTTAACAAAATTGATATAACTTTAAAAGTATAGATTACAGTGTTTTATTTAAAACATATTGAATGCATGTGCACCAATAAAATGTAGTAAACATTTTTTCTCAAACTTTTATAAAATACAACATTATTAAGATTTTATTGATCATTAAAAATGAAAAGGATTACACTAGTCATTACGTTTATACGACTAGTTGTAACTTTAGTTGCACAAAGTTGGTATGTATGTGTCTTTAGGCATATCGGTGTGACAATCACAGAAGATAACATTTCTATACGCGATAAATTATCAATAATAAACTATACATCATTGTCATTACTTACCTTTTTTGATAAATCCATTTTCAAATAAGGAGCATAATCTTTCGCAATGTCCTCGATTAAATTTAATTCCGTTGTCGCTGACATTTTGTGTTTTTTTAAAAATAAATTGTTGCTTATAAGATTCACACAGCACGAAGAAAACTGATTCACGATGAAACTTTTTCACAGTGAAATGAAAGCCTATTAAGACTTGTTGAGTTTTATTGCACAGATTTATTAATATTTGCTTAACTCGAACATTAAACAGCAAATAATGTAGAATTTAAGGACTGAGATTTAATTTTGTCCATATCTATGAAATTCCGTATTTTTTCATTATAGGTAATTTCATATAATAAGTAAATTTAGAAAACTAGACTCTTTCGATGCTACATTATCAACTGATGATTATTGAGAGATTCAAGTATGCGAATATGATGGTAAAAATAATTGTTTAAAAACATATTTTATTGATTTTACCATTCAAAAAAAAATGTTAAAATGCAAAATTTTTATATAAGAGAATATTAAAACATTATTTGTTAGAATAATATATTTAATTCAAAAAAATATTCTATTTTTGGTTAAGTAAAAATATATTTAAAAACTTTGTTTGATTTTAACTTAAAATAAATATTTAAAATCAATTAAAATTTATGTTAAAATTGAAAATATTATTTAAATAATAAATAATCTTTCTATTTAAATATATATAAAACTTAACATTTCACTTTTTTCCGTAACTCTTTTTGTTCTGCAACTCTGTTCCTGCTTTAACTATAACAAATATAATGATTTAGTAACAATATGAAATTTATTAACAAATCTTTTTAATTAACTTTCGTTATTTGCTGCAATAATAGCGCAAATTTATAATCACATAATAAATTAGAAACTAAAAAATTTTTCACACATGACATAGTACACAATAATTTATGCCGAAAATATATGAATACTAAATAAAAAGAAATATGTAATTTAAAAATCAATAATTAATGAAATAAATTTTCTTGATTCAATATAATTATAACAATTAAATTATAACTCAAGCCAAATATTTGGAGTCCTCTCGGATATAACGAGCTGTTTTTGTGAATGCATTTACGATGCGTTAAATTAAGTATATTGCTCGATTATGCAAGGTTAATTTTTTAATAAAAAGAAAGAAAAAGTGAAGAGGAACCTCGATTTTGTTTGAAAAGAATTTTGTTACTTATTCTCATATAAATGAGATAATTATTATCGTAACGCTTAAGAAAAATTTTGTTTTACGCTCTAAAGTATAAGGTAGTTAATTAAATTGATTGAGAGTCGATCATTCATGTTCTCGGAAGAGAAGGTAAAATCAAAATCGAAAAATGGATTAAAAAACAAAACAGATTGAAAGTAAAAGGAGGGAGAATTACTGCTATTCGTTTACTAAGTGTACGGACTACTTTAGAGCTCAGTAACTCAGTGCTCACAGTTCAGTTCACAATTCTGGTGTGTGCAACGTTTTTACTAAAAACCTGGATCCTTGACTTGGACAATCATTAAAATCAGGATATTAATTTAACCCGTGTTTTTGCAAATGACAGGCATGTAATTTATTCTTCTAGTCTCGCGCTTTATTATGGTTTTACTTCCCAAACAGGAAATCAAAACATTCCGGAATGGACTTCGAAATAAATACATGTCGTAAAACAATAATAAAAAATACCAACAACAAAATCATCATATTTTTTATATTAAAGAAATACTTGCAATTATTTTTTACAAGAATTTTCTAGAATTGAGAAAATTTTCTTTCATTTTATTTTTTAAATTTATTATAAATACCTAGTAGTATTAAATTTTTAAGAGTTTAATAAACACACAAGAGGTATATAATAAAAAATTTCAAGTAATTTAAAATTTTTTAATTTAAACAATTAATGGGAATTTTTTTATACTGAGAAAAATGTTTGAAATATTTATTGCAGTTAATATTTGTTTATTCTTTTTGTTGGTCTAACAAAGTTTGTTCTTGTCTCAAGCAAATTTTGGTTAGTCCAATAAAAATTTTCTTTTGTCTGGATAATATGAGGAAACGCATAATTTCTTTTTAACTAATTCAAATTTGGTAGAGATAACAAATTTGATTGGCCAACAAATATTGCAAACCAAATTTTGTTGCATAAATCTGGTTTGTTGTCTATTTTTCACAATGTAAAATGTAACAACAAAATTATAAATTTTTAAATTTAATTATTAATTATTTTTAAATTAAATTTCACATCAATATTTTTTGCAACATAGAACTTAAAAAAATCTCATTTAAATTAAAAGTTTTCATTGATTTATTATACATATTAAAAAAAATAAAAATCAATTTTAATACTGTATATCGTAAAATTTCATTATAGGTATACATTATATTTAGATATAGTTTTATACCATCAGATATAAATATATAAAACTAACGTAATATGTATGTGTATTTGTGAGGCAACAAAAATTTAATGACCGGAGTGAGAGATTTCTAAGAGAAATATGTTGAAGTTGATGTTATAAAAAGTTCACAAAGTGCGGTAATTGATTGAAAGTCTGTAAGGAACTATACTGTTTTTTGTTCCTTTGCTATTTACGGTGTTGTGTAAGTTTGATTTACTCGTGTTGAACCTCTATCAAATGCTTTTCGCACATCTAATCCGTTTAGTTTTATAAGTTAAACTTGTCATTTCACATTCGCGCGCAAATATTAAGAGTTTTTTATTAACATAAATCTAGCTTATGAAATTAAATCATTTCAGACTACCTTCAATCTTAAAACGCTTCCGTGGTAATTTTATAAAAAATGTTCACCCATTAATACTTGTCAATGTTTACAACCGTTTCCTTAGGAACAGTACATAAAAAACAAAACTAATTATTTCATTTATTTCAACTATATTTTTTTTATGTCAATGCCTAATTATATATTTTTTTTAATGTTTTTAAATATTTGGTTTTTAGAAAAAACACTGGTCTTCTAAAGAGGTTAAATAAATTTGTATATAAAACGAAGTTAAAATATATTAAAAAAATATTTCTGCGATGATTTAAAAAAAAAATCTATTACATACTAAATAATAATTTTACTCTAATCGCGTAACTGTTTTACTGTTCTTTATGAATATAAACGTGATTCATGATTTTCAAATATCTTCAATGGGTTTCACTATATACCTTCATAAAAGTAAGTTGTTTGACCATGACCGTTCTCAACTTTCACACAGATGCAATAAATGTCTCACGCACAATATACAGATGCATATAACCCAGAGATTATAGCTCTGAAGGAAAGTGGAGAATTATCATGTCTTATTACTATTACTATTAGTATTATTAGTTATTAGTCGTGTTTAATATCTTTATAAATAGAAAAATAATAATATAATAAAACTATTTCGGTTACAACTTTTTTATAGCTCAAACTCTTTTATAACTTCTATTATGATTACTAAAAACGGAAAAAAGATAAAAAAAAATCTGTTACCTATTCTTTAAAAAAATAAATTCAACTAAAAATTTGATTCAAATTATTTAAAATTCACGAATAGATATGAGACTTTAAATGAAAATTCATCAACTTTGAATCGGCAATTAATTAATGTCAGAAAAAAATAATATAGAAAACGTTTTAATTTATTTATTAAAATATGAAAAAGTTAAGACTCTTCAGAATTATTGACAAACAGGATTAAGTAATTATGGAAATAAGGAAAAAACGTGTTCAATACAAAATTGCAATACATAAGAAAACATCTAATTATTTTTAATCGAAACACGCAAATTAAAGCGATTCCTTTGTAATATTAAAAAATAGTGCAACAAGTGCAAACTTCCATTTGCTGTAATCAGCCTTTCACCGATTTCTACTTTAGATGGAATGAAGTTATATATATATATAGTTTGACCATTCTTATACAACAGCTTGTCCCACGAGAAATACACATATAGTGAGTAACTGAACTAACTTACCTCCTCTGTGCATCAGAAGCGGTCACTTCGAAATAAACTCGTTTTTAAATATACACACCAATGGAAATTTCCACAGATTAAAAACATATACATAGACACAAAAAACGATAAATATAAATCAATACAAGGCAATTTGAATTTTTGTCACTCCCTAAAAAATCATTTCTTTTGTCAAACACTTTTTGGTAAATTCTATTTTTATCATTGATTTTGAAAAAAGATATCGTATGTTGCAGATAAAAAGATGGATGAATTGAGTGATATACAACAATTTTATAAGGGAAAAACAATTTTTATTACCGGTGGTACGGGACTCATGGGAAAAGTCCTGGTAGAAAAGTTACTTTATAGCTGTAGTGATGTTAATAAAATCTATTTATTGATGAGACCAAAAAGGGGCAGAAACGTTGATATGCGAATAAATGAGATGTTTAAGTTACCTGTAAGTCTTGACAAACATTATTATTTTCATTATGTTGTGCCACATAATTATGAGAACTGGAAAAAATTGTTCAGAAATATTAAAAAAAGGAATATTACATTTTACTAGATGTTTAATAGAATTCGAAAGCAGAAACCAAATGTCATAAAGAATGTAATACCATTACAAGGAGATGTCACACAGGAAAATCTGGGTCTGAATGATGATCAACTAGCAATTATTCAGGAAGAGGTTCAGATTATATTTCACTTTGCGGCTACTCTCAGATTGGAGGCAAAGCTAAAAGATTCTATTGAAATGAATACGGTAAACTATTTTTTCAACAACAATTCATATGAATCTATTATTATATAGGTACTAAGGCAAAAACAATTGGAAATTTTTAAATTGAAAAATTTTTTCAACATAACTTTCAAATTTATTATTAAAACATCAAAATCAAATTTAATTAACTTGTAATTGGTTATTCCGAGCTTTGAATGTGTCAACTAACAGCTGGTGCTTTCAACTCTTTGTAGAAATTTTATCACTAAAATAGCACTAGAGAGGAGGAAAGTGTTATTTTACGTTTTTAATGAAAATTCTATAAAAACATTTAGGAAATCTGAAGAAAATTTTTAAAGAAATACTATACTGATTTAGGCTTTGTGGTTAAAGAAATAACCACATTTAGTTGAGGATATACTTTGATTCTCGGTATAGAATTGCTGAACGAGATTCCGTTTGGTTTTCAAGGTGGGTACCAAAAGGATATTGAAATTAAGCAAAGGAATCAAGAATCTCGTGGCTTTTGTTCATTTGAGCACGGCTTTTTGTCACGTGGATCAAGAAGAACTTGGAGAACGAGTCTACGATTCTCCTGATGATCCACAAGACGTGATGCGCCTCATTCAATGGCTAGATGAAAGTGCAATTGATCTCATCACACCCAAGTATGAATACGCCATTAAATATTACTTTCCCAATAGATAGATGTATGTATATATATATATTAACTAACTCACTTTATATATTCCGGCTAGATTAATATTTTATTTTCATTGCCATGTTATAAATTGACGAGCGAAAAGTTTTTGCAACAGAATCAAATGAAGAAACATTATACTTTTGAGAATCTCAAAACTGTAGAAGGGAACTAAAGACATTTTCGTAATCGGCACTAAAATCAAATGCAAATATCTTGCCTTTCATGCCAAGAAAAAATTTTCGAAATTATCATTTTTGTTAAGACTCTTTTTACAGTTTTGTGGTTTAGAGTGCTTATGTTTAAGACCTTGCAATAACATAAATATTAAAACTTAATTTTTTATTCTTATTTAAATAGGATTTTTCTTTTTAAAAAATAATAATAAATTTTTTGTCTACAAATTTTTCATTGAAAAGTTTTTAATCAAAAAACAATGCAAAAATTTGTTTTTATAAAAATGATAATAATATGCATTTAAAGATATCTTTTTCTTATAAAATCGTTGATCATAAACGTTGTGAATTTTCCGATTTCACCAACTTGGACTAAAAGTGTGATATCGTAATGAGAAACTATTTTTTTACTGAGTTCAAAAAAAAATCGGTACTTTTTTTACGAAAAGTTACACAAGTTAGCTAAAATAAAAGAACAGCGATAACCTAATATGTATTAAAGTGGAACGTTATATTTTTCACTGTAGTCTTGCTATGACACGCTTTTCCTACTTGACTTCTATAACACCACAATATACTATTGCGATACGAAATTTCTATAATATTATATGAGTGTAAAAAAATTCTTAACTTGATCAGAAAGTTTTAGTATTTCACATACTACAATAAGTACTGAACTAATTGAAAATAATCAACAATTATATAAGTTTTATAAAAACTTTCAAGGTTATTGGAGCCCCATCCGAATACATACACGTATTCGAAGCGTTTGGCAGAAAAACTTGTTGCCGATGAACATCCAAATTTGCCGATAGCAATTGCCAGACCGTCAATTGGTACATAAGATAATTAAATATTTCCTCTTAATTTACATATTCTGTATATAACACTATAAATTATTATAAAAAAAAAAAAATTTTCTCTAGTAACTCCGGCCTGGTCAGAGCCTATGCCAGGATGGGTTGACAATTTAAATGGACCTGTTGGATTACTCGTTGGTGGCGGGAAAGGAGTTATTCGATCAATGCACTGTAATGCCAATTATCACGCGGAAGTAATTCCCGTCGACTTGGCTATTAACGCTTTAATTGGAATTTCTTTTAAAATCGCAACTGCCGTAGAAAAGTAAGTTTTTTATAAGAAAAAACTGAAATAAATTTTATCACAAATGCGCGATAGGGAAAGAGGGTAAAGCAATTTTTAAATGGAAAAAGAAAAAATAATATGACTAATTAGGTACTAACAATATTTACAGAACAAAACACATACCTGTTTATAATATAACGCAAAGTGGAGTAATGCCAATTACTTGGGGTGAGATTTTGGAAAAAGGAAAAAAAGTCGTGCGCGAATATCCATTTGAGGGTGCAATTTGGTATCCAGATGGAGACATTCGTAAAAGTAAATTTATCCATAATCTTTTCGTATTCTTCTTTCATCTTATCCCAGCATACTTCATTGACTTCCTGATGTTGCTATTTAGACAAAAACGATTGTAAGTACTTGAATCAAATAGTAATCATCAAAATTATTTTTAAATATATATATATTATATATATGATTGATAATAAATATTTCAAGCCGAATTAATTAATCTAACTAAATAAACATCTTTAACTGTTAAAGGTTTCAAAATATTTATCAAATTAAAAAAAACAGTTCGAAAAAAATGAATAAATTATATATTTTTATTTTGTACATGTATAAAAATATAAAGGACTTTACAGCATGGTGAGGGTACAAAAACGAATTTCGGATGGACTTGAAGTTTTGCAATACTTTACTACCAGAGAATGGGTTTTCCATAATACAAATCTTCTCATACTATGGGGCGATATGAGTCCAAAGGACAAGGAGATATTTCCTATAGATTTTCTGACAATAGATGAAATGGAATATATAAAACACGTTGTCCTTGGTGCACGACAATATTGCATGAAAGAAAATTTGTCATCATTACCGAGAGCTCGAATGCATCAAAAGATGTAAGTATTATCATACATAATACATACAACGCATTTTTTTAAAATCAAAGAAAAATTTTCTCGTATGAGTATTAAAAGTGTGAAAAAAAACAAGAAATTTTTCTTCATTAATAATAATAATAATAATAATAATAATAATGTTTTTATAATTTGAATATAAAGAGTTTTATAAAATGAATTTACCAAATTTTCAGACTTTATGCAATTCATTTGTTTGCCGTCTACTCATTCTATTTAGGTATCCTCTACTACATGTACAAATATTTTGGAGTAGTGAGAATTTGTCTGGATTTTGTGACAGAGAAAATGAAACTCGTCCCAATTATTGGACATCTCGTTAATAAAATTCATTTGTAAGAAAATGCAATTATTTTTTATATACGAATATTAAATATTGTAATATATTAATATTAAAAATTGTAATTTTTCCATTCATATTTTACGGGGAGGGTTTTTTCTACAAGTTTTATATTATTTTTTTCCCCGATTTACATTATTTCAATTATACCTAATTTTACAAGCTGACAATTTTTTAATTTAGTTAAGTAGTTTTATTGATTATCGCAAAATGAATTCATGTCAGATACTCCTAAAAATAGATGGCCTATAACAGCTTTAATCTTTTTTACTTTATTATATAAACATACACTCTCTTAGGTGTTTGTATTTTTAGGAGTATTTGCATTTTCTACTCAGAAAAAAATATTTCCCTTATATATAAAAATCATTTATTTAGAATTAAATATAAATATATTAAATTTAATTAAAATGAATGACTAAAAAATAAATGCACTTCATTAGCAAAATGAAATGTTATGAAAATAATTTTTTTTCTGAGTACGAACAAAAAATAGTTATAATCAAACATGTTTTATGATTCTAAAGGAATAATAGTGAATTCCTTTTTTAAATATGGCTTGTTAACATAAGAAATTTTACATGTCAGAAGTTAATTAAGGAAAAATAAAAAGTAATTGATTTTAAAAGGCATTTTTTCTAAATGAAAGTTTCAGGTATTTATTGCATGTGTTACATCACTGATAATGAGGTAATAATTATTATAATATATATGAACAATTAAATTCAACAAAAAATTAATTAATATTTAGAGTTTAAAGTCTGCAAGAGCAAGATAAATAATATTCTTCAGTCAAAAAAAAAAAAATTTGCTTTTTAGAAAATACATAAAGCGGTTTTAGATTTTCATAATTTCACAATTTTAATAGATTTTCATTTAAATCGAAAAATGAATATAAAAAATAATAATAATAAAAAACTTTATTAAAATAAAGTAAAAATTTTGTTTGATTGATATTATTTACGTCAGTTTTTAAAAACGATGCTTTTATTTTTTATTCATACAAACATAGTTTTTATTTATTTTTTAACTGCAGTCTTTTATTTATTTATATTTACATTTACTTTCCGTTCAATAAAATATGTTTTTTTGTTAAATATTAAAACGGTCCGTAACACGTTTCGCACGCGCGCAACATGGTATTGTTTGCTAGTATGTAAACAATAATTTCCTTAAGATTGATTAGAAAAATTAATGAAAAATAAACAAATTTTAATCGCAATATGAGAGAAAAATAAGTTAGTTTTCATAAAATCATTAAGATAAAAATCAAATAGAATTTATTTCAACATTATGCACATAAAAATAAAGAATCAGAAAATTTGGGGTATCCCCATCTTAATTTAACACAATCGATTGACCTTTATTCAAATATTTCATTACTGTCTGAAACAATTAAGAACTTATATATAGGTATATATTCGCTATAATTTTTTGAAAAATCACCTAAAAAGCTTTCCTATAAGTGTTTAATAATTAGGAACCCTTTAAATTTGAATTAGTTCAAATAAAATAGTAAACAAAATATTGTCAAATTCAGATTTAGACAGAACATACATATATGAAAGAATAAGATTATCCTTTCCTCAATAAAGAAAAAACCCCCCACATTAAAAACTTATATTGCGATTATTAAAAAATCAATTAAGGATATTAAATATCAACCATTAAAAAATTTATTAATAAATTTTATAAAAAAAAACCTAATAGTTTCCCTTGAAAGTAATAAATTCGCAAACTTGGATTATTATAATTGCGTATATAAGGCAAGATTAAAGACTCATAAAGAGCACTTAAAAAATAAAATTAAAAGAGAGATTTATAGTAAATGTATACAGTAAAATATAATTAATTTTTTCATTTTATTTCTCTAAAGTTTTAAATTACTTTTTTCCGATTTCCTGTGAGGATTTCACTGTTTTGATAACTGACTCTCAAGTTCCCTAATGCACTAATCAGCACTAATATAATAAAAAAAAAATTGAATTTCTGTTAACCCTTATCATGAAATACAATAGCGATGGTTTCAGGTAAGATAGAATTTTCCAACACCATATGAAAAAGAATGTATGTATACCTAATAAATATATATAAAAAAAATGTCCTAAAAACATGAAGAAACGAAAGAAAAGGTCAAGTGTTATGATCCTGAGATTGTGTGAGAGTAGATCAATACAAGAGTAAAGGTAACCTATTCCTTCGATAGTTTCGCCATCTTTCATTATAATTTTGTACCAAACACTGTTGCTTCCTCCCACATTTTCTTTAAAACAACTCACATGTTACTTTTTTCTTATTTAGATAAACAATTGTTACGACTTTGAAATACTTATTCAAATAAAAGAAAAATACATTTCATGCTCCCCGAAAGAAGCGATGATTCCCTTTAGGCATTTTTGTTTACTAAGTCAATAAATTATAGTAATAATAATAAAATATTAAAGAAGAAAAATAATTTACTCTAAACAAACTGTTTAACTTATTTATATCTTCATATTTTTTTTTATTTCTTTTTGAATAAAATTTCTTGACCTTCATGTCAAAAGTTGGCAATTATATTTTTTGAAAGTCACTTCTAAAAAGGAAATGTCTTTTTTATAGGTATTCGTTAAATGAATGTCGCTAAATGAGTCTAATTGAAGGATAGGAAGGAAAGAGAAAAAACTGATGTGAATCGCATCATTGAGAAAATCTATTTACTCAGTTCATTTCTATTGCAGAAAAAATTCTACTAAAAATTGAAAATTTTTGGGTCGACGAAATTGTTTTATTCAATAAAAAGTTTTATATTAATCCAAAAGGATGACAAATTAGTAAGCAATTAAAAATAAAAACATTTTTTTCTACAAAACAAAAATTGTTAATAATCAACAAAATTTTTAGCCAACAATAACAATTTTTTGTTAATAAAAAATAGTTTAATCAAGAAAACTGTTTTCTGCTAAATAAAATAAAAGTTTTACTCATAAAAATCTCTCCTATAAAAATATGTGTGAAACAAAAATGTGTTAAAGTGAGCATTTATTATCTTATAAAAATGAGGGTTGCACACACACACACACACACACATACACTAAATATGTAGAACATTTCAAAAAGCACCTTTTCATTCTCTGCATATATATATGATCAATTTATGACATAGTTTTACTATTGCGTCACACACGCACGGGGTAGCACGCATGGGGTAACGCATGCGTTTTATAAATGAGACTTGCGCGATTACTTTTCATACGAGAGGTTTTCAGGTGGTTTCTCTCGGGGTAGTTTTCGGCGCGACCTCGTGCATTTCGTTATCACAATGTTACTCATCCGTCTTGTTAAAAATTTTTACTTTCATCACTTAAAAATTTGCAAATCACTCTCACCACCTGTTACTTTCGTCAACAATCAATTATTTCATTCACAAACCAAATAAATAACTCCTTATTTCCACAAAAATCAACTATAAAATCGAAAATCTCTAATACTATTATATATGCAACAAAAATTAAATAATCATTTGCACATTCAAAATATCATAAATAAAGTTTCTAAAAAGATTAATTGTAATTGACAAAAAAAAATTGTAAAACGAATGGTACACTGGGGTTTTATAATTTAAAACAAAAAAAAACGAAAATATTTATAAATTAAACATTAATTTGTAAAAAATTTCGAGTTGTAAAAAAAATACATTTATATAAATATAAATAAATAAATGACAAATGAAAGTTAACATGGTGTTTAATGAATTTTTTTTCGAAAACTGATTAAACGCAGACAAAATAACAGCTGACATTGATCGAGAAAGATAAAAAAAATGTGATTGTGAGAACGTGGAAAAAAATTTTAATATTCAACACAATGTCTTTGACAGTGATTCTGAAAAATTTCCAAGGCTTGAAATTCAAAGGGGAAAAATCTGTTCGAATTGATTTTCGAGGTAATTAATGTTTTATTGTACGAAACATCACACACATGTTTTATAAATTTTCAAGAATAACATTTTAACAGGACGGAATAATTCTTAAGATGGATTTAATTTAAATTTTTTCAATCGTATCACGCTAAATAATTACCTAGAAAAATTTGAATAATTTTCGAGGTCACTCTAGTTTTTTTATATCAGCGCTCAATTCAACAATGTTTTCTAAATCGTTTTAAGTATATTTTTTTAACAGTAGATTGTTACATTATATATTTCATTATTCAAACACTTTTATATATTTTCAATTTTGAAGAAACTTACTTTCAAGTATTTTTACTTTCTTTGTTGTAACTTTTTTAATTTTTAAAACAATCAAGTAAACGATTAATTTTTGTTTTTTTCTATTTTGTGATTTTTCATTTTTTCTGGTAACTAACAGTTTAAAAGAATTAAACATTATTGTAATTAAATTCTAACATGAATTAAGTTTATTGTGTTGAAGAAAGTTTATTTTAAAGTAGAAAATGAGAAAAAAGAAGTTTTAAACTATCATTGTGAAACTTTAGTAAAAAAATATAGAGATCAGTATTTTTCGAGAGATAAAAAATAGGTTGTAACTTACGAGATTTATGACAGTAAATAAAAAAATCCAGTTTACAAAAATCGCTTTTGATTTAAACAAAACATGTGTTACATTCAAATTGTTATTTTTTAAAAAGAAAAGAAAACAATTGACATTAAAAAATGCAAAAATTAAAATTTTTTAAATAAAATTGAAATGATAATCATTTTATAAAAAGAAGTGATTATATTTATTTGAATAAAAAGAATCTCTTAACTATTAAGGATTTTTTTCAGTTAAATACAAAAAAGTATTAAATAAATAGAGTTTAAATAGTTTAAATAAACATTGTTAAATTGAGATCGAAGTACTTTAATAATATATAGGATAAACAAAAACATATTGGAAGTTTGTTGACAGATGAAAACAAAACGTTATCTCAATAATAGTGTACCTATATCAATTTAATCTTCTTGCAATTGAATACTCAATTATCACAATTTTCTCTCTAGGTTTTTAACATTTAAACAATTTAAATATATTGTAAAAGAAGTAAAATATAGTCAATAGGGGAAAATTAAAACTGATAAAATTATAATAAATTGAT